AAGATAAAAAATGAGTCCATCTAACCCAGAGTTGTTGACTTCCGACTGTAGCTTTCCTGGATCCCAGCTGGGAGTTTTTCTCTGGTCCTGTCACCTAAGACCCTTCAAGTCAAATATTTGGGATTGAATCTCAGATCTCCTCCTCCTTCTTTGTTGACCACTTATAGCCGCGTAAGATTGTCTTCCATAAACATGCTTTTAACAGTGAGTCCGTAAGAGACTGTGGAGGCCAATTCTGGATCCACACGTCCTTCCACAGTGGGAACAGAGGTTTCTGGGTGGGAGTTGATCATGGTGAGGGTTTGCCAAGCATGCCTTCCTCTTAGTACGTTTCTCCCTTTCAATCCTGAGTTTGTGACACCTTTGGAAAATGCTGTTCTCCAATTAGACCACTCGCAGGCCAGTGTTTTCCAGTTGTCAGTGTTTATGCTACATTTTTTAGATTTGCCTTGAGAGAGTCTTTAAACCTCTTTTGTTGACCACCAGCATTACGCTTTCCATTTTTAAGTTCAGAATAGAGTAGATGCTTTGGAAGATGATAATCAGGCATCCGCACAACATGACCAGTCCAATGAAGTTGATGCTGAAGAATCATTGCTTCGACACTGGTGATCTTTGCTTCTTCCAGGACACTGGCATCAGTTCACCTGTCTTCCCAAGGGATGTGTCACATGCACACCATACATTAAAAGCTATTTGAAACCGCTTTAAGCAGCAATGTCTCCCCACCTCAAGACTTCTGGGAATAGTATTGTGTTACAGGTGCTGCGAGTTGTTAGGCAACCCCTATTTGCCTCACAGAGCTGCCATTCCCTGAGTGGTTTAACAATCAATCCCTCTTCCCAGGGAACAGTGAAAAATGCATGGACTTGTCCTAAAAGTGTACATAGATTCATACATACTGGTCCCCCCAAACTGCTTCCTCCACTTCTCATCAGCCCCAGGCAGCATACAGTTCATTTTTTTTCTGAAATATATTTTTTTAAACATTTTTTTCCAATTCGGAATGGATATCCTCCCAGAACACCTCAATTTCTTTACATTGCCACCACATGTGATATAGATTACCTGGTTTTTCTTTACACCTCCAAGAATTGCTTGGTACATTTTTATACATTTTGGAGAGCTTCCAAGGGGTTATATACCACCGATGTTGCATTTTAAGGAAGTTCTCTCTTAAAGAGTGAGTAACAAGCTGTAAATTTCCAATCTGTTTTCGACAGATGTTCCTACTGTCTCATAGTTATCTTGTACCCAAAGTCTTGCGCCCATTTAACCATGGCTGCAGTGACCTCCTCCTCCTTCCCAGTCAAGGAGGAGTCGGTATGCTTTGGAGAGTGTTTTAGATTTAGAATTTACTATATCGGCTTCGAATCTGGAAGTCTCTCTGGCGAAACCTTTTTGTTTGTCTATTTTGAATGTCTTGTATAATTGATGATATTGAAACCAGTCCATTATTGTTTTCAATTCCAGAGCAAATTGCACAGTTAGCTGCTAACTTGAGGAAGCCCCTCGCTCCTGGAATGACGGGGCGGCCCGGGCCTGCTGGTCCCCCAGGCCCTCCCGGGGCAACGGGAATTATTGGGCACCCTGGAGCTCGTGGCCCACCCGGATACCGAGGACCACCAGGAGACCTAGGAGATCCTGGTCCTAGAGGTGAGTCAGATTGACACTGGAAGCAGACCAGCGAGTGCCAGCAAAAGACCGCAAACTCGGTCCTGTGCCTGCCTGTTTGGAAATAAACACCTCTGAGTTGAGTGGGGCTTGCTTCCCAGGTTTGCAGCTTGTATCAAGTTGGGTGCTTCCCAAATGATGTGGGAATCTACCAATTTATGAAGACAACCATATGTGCTGCCAGTGGATAAACTGAAGGACGGTCACGGGTGGAAATGCAGTGTTCAGGCTTGCATATGTTTGCAAGAGTAGAGCTCTGGGAGTAAGGCAATACTACAAATGCCTCATTTCTTGTTTATAGTCTGCTTTTCTGCCCAGTGCCTCCAATGCAGCATTCAACATAGCTTATCTTAATAAAAGCGCTTAAAGGTTTTTGTTCATTAAGCAGCGTATAAAACTTGCCCAATAAATAATATAGCAGACAAGTGCATCAGTAGTGAGAAACTTCTAGCCCAGTGTTTCCCAAACTTGGATTTCCATATGTTGTTGGACCACTACTCAACTGAAGTCGTTTATGCTTTTGTTACGACACTGTAGGTGACCATGGTGAGAGGGGAGACAAAGGTGCCATGGGGAAAGGTGTTGACGGACCAGATGGGGATCAAGGACCTCAAGGTAAGTTGACCGGGTGCTGATATAACTGTGTGCTCCCCACTTCCCTGAGCCGTGAGAAGTAAGCAAGGGAAGCACATCTTAGGTTTGATTTCCCTTGGAGCAGAGAATACTGATTTGCCTCTGAATATATCTTTTTAAAACACTAAAAACAGCTGCCAGGGGCCGATGACTCTGCTCAACATTGTTGTATATAGGGATGGTTCTTTTTAAATACTGTTTCCCACCTTCTGCTGCTATTTGCAATGGGAGGCGGGGACTGCCCATTGATGCCAATGAGAGCTTCCCTCCTGATGCAAACAGCAGCTTTTTTGGGGGGGGTGTTTTCACATGGACTGCAATGTAGGAAGGTTTCTATTTATTTTAAAATAAATCTATCTTCTGTCATGGAACTCAGGGTGGCGTACATGTGGTTTTCGGGAAGTTACCCATCTAAGCAAGCACTATTTTTTGCAACCAATCATTTTATCCAGGAGAAAGTGCAGAATATCATGCCGAACCTTTATCTCTTTCCCCCTGAAAAGGTCCGCCAGGTGTCCCAGGGACTAGTAAAGATGGCCGGGATGGCTCTCCTGGTGAACCTGGGTTGCCAGGGGATCCTGGAAGACCAGGTGCAATTGGAGTCCAAGGAACTCCAGGAGTCTGTGATACATCTGCCTGCATGGGAGCTGTCGCTGGAGGAAAATCCAAAAAGTCATAAAACTGCATTTAATGGAAGTCAGAAAAAGGGTACGGAGTATTTAAGCAAATTGTTCATACGTGAAGAGGAAACCGCCCTTTGAAAAATTTGGAGGGGCAGTTCTCCTGTAAGAATGAATGAAATGGAGACTTTGTTTTAGTTCAATGAAACAGGAAATCGTCAGATGGAAATTTGTACTATATCCCCTACAATTGTTCCCCAATTTTCACTACATTGTTGTTTGCTCCTTGCCCCACTGAAGAGAGACTTCCCCACTTATCTGATGTAAGAGGTGTTTTCCCCAGCACCACCACAAATCAACTGGACTGTGTTTTATGCAATTTTTAGGATGGCTCGAACCTGCGCCAGTCTGTTAATGGTAAACTCTGCTCCAACCTTATTATGCGTGAGCGCTGAGGCCAGGGCTGCAGAGGGATAACCCTGGTCAGATAAACGAGAGGCACAATTATCTAGCCAGGGCTATGCACACATAGCCTCATCACTTGACCAGGAACAACTCCATCCAGCTAAGTTGGCATGCTTCGTTGGACTGTGTCAAGTAAATGTAGAAGTAGTGGGCTAAATAAACATTATTCAGATAGAACTGTTGACAACCCTGATTGTTCATACGATGGACACAATCCAAAGAGCCCCTCTATATGTGCACACCAGAGTTTTCCTAAGGCAGATCTCTATACTGTGTCAGAAGTCTCTTCTGAAGATCCTCCCAGTTTTCAAGGGTGGTTTGTCCCAGCAGCACAGAGAACAGTCTCTGCAAAAGGGGAACCACAAATGTGTTGCAGTACACAGAGCTTGCCAAATGGCCTTATCTCTTAGATATGTACCACAAGTAATTTTTTTCCAATAAATTCCATATGAGGTAGAATGTATATCTCTCTTACATTGGGTTAATTTCAAACATTTCCATATTATATTTAGTAATGACATTTTACATTACAGATGAACACTGCCCAAAATTAGTATATGCATTATTGTAATTTTTTTAAGAAAAAAAATCACTTTTTTGTAACATTGTGTTTGCCTGTTTTATAATAGGCTTGTTTTGTTAATACTTTTATTTTTCCCCTTGCTGATTGGAAATAAAGGTGCTACACAAATGTGAATATCCGTGATTTAAACAGTATTTATTTTGGGATGAGTTCTGTATAAGAAATACTTACTGGCATCATCTGTTTGATAGATAAATGAAGCCACTTTCAATTCAATAAATATACTATTTCTCAAATGCTTCAGCTTTCCTAACACATACTGCTAATACTAGTCTTTTTTAAAAAAGAAAATATTATGTGCACTTAAAAATCATGTACTGTTTACAAAATACCACTTTTGCACTGAAATCATGCAATTATCTGGATTTTTTTTCCGTATGGAAGCCCAATTGAAATAAATCAGATTTGCACCAGAGCACACAGCTGTATTTCTCCTGTTCATTTCAGTGGGTATTTGTGCAGCAGATAATTCCTTGACTGTATCCTGCACTAAAAATCGTTGGAGAATGCAAAACATATTTTAAATAGTAGTGTATTTATAACACACTGTCAAAAAGCTTTTTCTATATATTTTAGTTTCACAGGTATGAACATTTTGAAATGGAAGGCAAATCTCAGTTACTATATGCAAGTTACTATTTTTTATATAATTTATAAACTAGTTACATTTCTTCTTTTTCCAAACTGGTTGTTACGACATTCTAACAATTATCTATATCAGTACAAGTGTGTACAAGGTTGAAAAGAACAAGCTGCTGTTTGACACATCTGAATTATATTATACTTGGCAAACAAACAAACAAAAATATAGAAAATGGGTTACTAGCTTGTACTGCTGTTTTCTACTTCCCTCTGGTGCAACGCTTTTCTTAGGGCAGCACTAATAAATAAATGTTGTTGGTGTCTTGCTTTTCTTCTTTGTTTGGAATAAAGTGTGTCATTTCTTTAACACTTATGTATTTTTCAAAGTACAGTAAGTCATAAGAGAAGTCCAGCAGGTGAATTTGAATTAAAAGTTCATACAAATCCTTGCATGTTCACCCTTTACACCAGTTTTTGACTATAGAGAGCCAACTATTTTATCTCCATAGGTGTGCCATTCTGAGTAATCTCCTGTGTCGAGCACGTTGCTAGTGAATCGGATCTTGTTAACTTTAGTCGTCTGCCTGTTTTACCACAGAACACGGTCTCAAATTCCTAAAAAGCAGACACAGAGAATAATTACGATATGGACTTGTGAAAGAGCAAACCTTGGGGAAAGTGGGGGCACACAGCTATCCCTAAAGGAGAGGTTACTAAGCAACTTTTCGCTTATCCTAGCAAACTTTTGAAGGTATTTAAAAAACAAAACACACATTTATTTCAGAGTGGAGCAGCTCCAGAAATAAAGAGCTGCCCTTCCATTATTGTCAGCACAATAGCTGGTGTCCAGATGGAGCTATTTAACCTGGGGGGAGCCAACTGAAGTGAAAATACTAGGTGGGTATTGCTTGCAATATAGTACTTCCAAAATGTTGAGAGCATGTCCAAATAATATTTAATAATAGATATATAAGGTTTAGATTTCCATACAACAATCTTGTGATGCATGACAGGATTATTTTCATCATCATTTTTCAAATGAATGGGGAAGTTAAAGGCTGAGATTGTAGCCTGCTTAAGATCATGGGCCACTGAAGATGTGTGTTCCTGTATCCACTGGAGTAAATGGTCAAGCTACCTATCATAATTCCACGAGGCATTTGGTTATTGCTTTAATGCATTTTGTTCTGCGCATTTATGTCAAACTTACTGACCTTTTTCAGAGAATCCCCATGTCGTTCCTGAATATATTTTAGAAATGCTGTTGTCCATTGTAAAGTTGTTGCCTTGTCAGTATCCGAAGTGCAAAATGGAACCAGAAGATTAAGTTCATCGCAACAAATCCTGATTCTGCGCCTAGAATTGCATACAACATGGAGAGTTCTAGTAGTGCGTCAAATGGTAACATAAAACATTAATTAATTAGGTGCAGCAACTTAGAAGCCAATTATTTGATGAAGATAGTGGCAAAGCATCAGTCGCACATGTTATAATAGGTTTCCCGGGCTTACAAAACGCTCATTATTCCTCCCTGAATCAAAGACCACAAGTATACTGACATAAGGATCCTTAAAATCAATCCTAAGTTTTCTGGTTATAGGACGTGAGCCTGTAAGGTTTGTATTAAAATTTTGCAAATATTTATAAAGTTGACTGTGATTGAATCCACATAAGAACATAAATAACATAAAGCCTCCTAGATCAGGCCCATCGAGTCCAGCATCTGTTCTCTCTGTGGCCAACCAGATGCCTAAGAGAAACCCGTAAGCAGGAACTGAGTGCAACAGCAACACCTTTCCTGCATTTTCCAGCAACTGATATTCAGAGGCATACTGCCTCGGACAGTGGAAATAACAGCTAATATCTTAATTTGTAGCCTTATTGGAGTTCACCGATTGGGTCTGCATTGCTCCGGGACAGGAGGAAGGAAGTCAAATGACACCGAGGTTGGTTCAAAGAAAGAGTTTATTCTGCTCTCCGGATAGCAGAAGGCACTTGCGTGATCAAGTCCACAGCAAGTCCAAAGAAATGACAATAGTAATATCAATTTCACGGCCTGTACGGCTTTGAGAGAGAATGTCTGGAAAATGCTGTACAGATGGTATCTTATGCCGGTGAAACTGGCCAAAATGTATAGATTAAAGAACAAGACATGCTGGAAATGTGGTGAAGTGGAGGGAGACCTCTACCATATGTGGTGGCTATGCAACAAGGTGAAGGCCTTTGGGAAGCAATATATAATGAGCTCAAAAAAATACTAAAATATACCTTTCCCAAGAGACCTGAGGCCTTTTTGCTGGGAATCATGGGCAAAGAAATAAAAAATGAAGATAAAAAAATATTTCTCTATGCCACCACAGCTGCAAGAACTATGCTGGCGCAAAATTGGAAAATAGAAACTATGCCTAGCATAAGTGACTGGCAGGTCAAAATGATAAACTACGCCGAGCTCGATAGATTAACAGGCAGAATACGAGACCAAGATGATCAGAAATTCCAGAAAAATTGGAGTAAATTTTGGAAATATATTGGAACAGATTTATAAGATGAACTGGCGGGGCTAGAGTAACTCTATCAGTGAATAATTATAAGTTTAAAAATTAAATACGCAATCATGGAATTTATTTTGATACTTACCAAAAGGGTGAAGGGAAGTCAAAGGCTCGGTAGAGCCTAAAATACTATGATTTTCTTTTTTATGATCTTTATGTTTTATTTTCTGTTTGTATAGTATGGGGAATGGGAATAATAATTTATGTAAATGTGTTTATCTTTGTTTGTTCTTTATAAATTCTGAATAAAAATTTAATGAGGAAAAAAAAAAGAAATGACAAGTTTCATGCAGTATATATATCCTCCAGACACCCTCTCCCCCTTCCCCAGCCACATCAGCTTGTACACGCAGGTTGACATCACAGATATTCCTGCTCCGGCACTCTTAACCATAAAAGGGATTTCCTTCCTGCACTCCTGACCATAATAGGATCTTCCTCTTCCTACTCTTATCTTGGAGGAAGAGGTCATCATCTCTGAGAACACGCTTCTGGCATTGTTCCCAGACTTTGGTTCTGTGCGTCTTTGTGGTCAGCACATAAGATAAGGTGCTGTGCATCTTCTCTGTTCTACTGGTGCAGTCAGGGTCATCCCTGCCGTCACAAACTGATAAAGGAGAGGGCTCTGAGCACGGCCGGGTTTTTGTTTATACATTGACTCAGAGCTCAAGTTAATGGATTTTAGCTAAGGAAAAATAGGGATTTTGGTGCAGTTTTCAAACTGCCTTCACAGTCGGTATTCGGTTTGGGAAACCCATTCCTTCAAATTTAGTTACTTTCCTCCTCCCTTTCCATACTCCACCCACACCTTTTGTACAGTATCTGGAGTATGAGCCACTATTTAATATATGTTCTATTGTACACTGGCAGAAAGGCTGTATATCAATGTCATAAATACCCAGATATATGACATTGAGGCATGCAAATCAACACCAAATTAACATTAAAACAAATCCATTCGTATAAACCTGATAACTTAAGAACCAAACACAAAAGGGTGTTCTTTTCAGAGGCCACCACTAGCAATTACCTTCTGTCTCTTTCCATCCGGTTATGTCTCTCCCGACGCTGAGAGGTACCACCTTGAGTTCCACTTTGTGTGCTCTGGGTTGGTTGTGTTGCTTGCCAAGTGCTATGAGCTGGGCCAGCGTTTTGGGTATCACACACATTCTGAATATCACCAAGAGGTTTGCGCTGCACATTGGTGTCCAAAGGATGTATTCGACTACGACTTCTTTTGTTTATTGTTTGCTTACATATAGCATCTCCTTTGCAAAACAAGAGGAAAAAGAAATGTGTTGCCATTTTTCTTTTCTTTACCTCTCTCGCTCTGACCTAGCCACTGTGATCCACGTCACGGTCACCTCCAGACTTGATTATTGTAACTCACTCTACGTGGGGCTGCCCTTGAGACTGACCCAGAAACTCCAGCGGGTGCAGAATGCCGTGGCGAGACCCCTTACAGGGTCCTCACCGCGGGATCACATTCACCCGGTGCTATACCAGCTGCACTGGCTCCCGGTGGAGTACAGGATCAGGTTCAAGGTGCTGGTTTTAACCTTTAAAGCCCTATATGGCCTAGGACCCTCGTACCTACGGGATCACCTCTCCTGGTATGTCCCACAGAGGACCTTACGGTCTTCAAATAAAAACATCTTGGTGATCCGGGGCCACAGGGAGGTTAGGCTGGCCTCAACCAGAGCCAGGGCTTTTTCGGCCGTGGCCCCAAATCTGGTGGAATGCTGTGTCACAAGAGACTAGGGCCCTGCAGGACTTGACATTTTCCTGCTTGGCAGGGGGTTGGACTCGATGGCCCTTGTGGTCTCTTCCAACTCTATGATTCTATGATTCTATGACATCTTTCTGCAGGGCCTGCAAGACAGAGCTGTTCCACCAGGCCTTTGGCCAAGGCACAGTCTGACCCCCTCCTTCAGTAATCCTCACAGAACTCTAGCCCAATGGTTGCCATTAATTTGATTTTGAATTGAATTGATTTTAGAACACATTTCAATTAATTGATTGTGATTTTATGTAAACTGCGTTACTTTTATTGTTGTTAGCTGCTCTGAGCCCGGCTTCGGCTGGGGAGGGCGGGATATAATAATAATAATAATAATAATAATAATAATAATAATAATAATAATAATAATTCTTTTTGCCATAAGTAAATTGTATGGTTGAACTGAAATTTCACCTTGTATCAAGCTCAGCTTTGGTTTACTGCTTCTAAGGCTGTCCACCACTAAAATAATTGTGGTGGATCAATAATTAGTTGCTTTTTCATAGAATAATAGAATCATAGAGTTGGAAGAGACCACAAGGGCCATTGAGTCCAACCCCCTGCCAAGCAGGAAACACCATCAGAGCACTCCTGACATATGGTTGTCAAGCCTCTGAGGAGATTTCACCCCTCCCATACCCAAGAATCTCCTGACCATCTCCTGATGATCTCTGCTGACTCTCCACAGAGAAGAGGAGGCGTGTCCTGCCTATTAACTTATTCTGCCCAGCAACATATCTGTGTGTGTGAGAGAGAGTCAGTCAGTCAGTGTATCGGAGAGAGTGAGAGTGATAGAGAACCTAGAGATTAGATTGCTGCTAAGAGCAGCTGCAGACTCTCAGTGTAGCATTGCTTTATGCTCAGAAGATTTAGCTCTGTATATAGTTTTGTACCATAGTTGTAGTTATAGAATAAAAGGAAGATATTTTACAGAGCTGCTCTCCGAGTGGTTTATACTCTGCAAGACTCTGCAAACTCTGCTGCGCAACGACTGAAGTATTGAGACAGTGAATCCGGTGCTCTCAGCTCTAAGCTGTGAGTCCACAGCACTGCGACCGTTTCCTGCGGGAAGGAGGTCTCTGGCGGTGCTACCCAGCTCGCCCAGCCCAGTCGGGGTTGAGGTACATGAGTCCAGTTGGCGCACTGGCTCTAGGGCGATGCTGACAGCCTCTGCTTAAAGACCTCCAAAGAAGGAGACTCCACCACACTCCTTGGCAGCAAATTCCACTGTCGAACAGCTCTTACTGTCAGGAAGTTCTTCCTAATGTTTAGGTGGAATCTTCTTTCTTGTAGTTTGGATCCATTGCTCCGTGTCCGCTTCTCTGGAGCAGCAGAAAACAACCTTTCTCCCTCCTCTATGTGACATCCTTTTATATATTTGAACATGGCTATCATTTACATGTAAATAACCCTTAAATAATATTGCAGCTTAGCAAAGACATCAGTACAGCTATTGAAGGAAATTTGAGAGACCTTGCAATTAAATAAATAAGCAAACACTGTTGTTCCCTATTTTACTACCAAACCAAAACCAAAGTAACCTTAAAGATAAACAAGTGGGCATTTTATCTCTTAGCACTCCTGCTAATTAAAATTTACCCCACTGTTTAAATTAATCCCTATGATTAGTAAACTAAGACCTTAGTTAACGGCTATACTTGCTTAACATGGCAGTGGAAACGTTTCTATGTAATGCAGCACAGCAAGTGCCATGAGAAGGTACATACATAGGTTGGCCCCAGGCTCTCTGCTTCAGAGCCTCAAAGGTCTAGAACCTGGAGCACCCATCACAGCTGGATCTCAGAAAAGGCAGCAAAAGGCTGGCCAAGGATTTGTTTGCCAGTTTCTCTCTGGAGCTCTGTGTTACTTCCTCCGGTTCTGTTACTTCATCCAAGGGCACGCATAGCACTAAAAACCCCATTTCACCCAACCACCCCATGCAAAAGATAATTGTTACATGGGCTTCCTCCTAGCTTCCAAGACAGCTAAGCAGCCTTAAATGCTTGGCGAATGCATTTTTATTAAGCATATTATCAAACAAAAGCATGATACTTTGATTACTCTTCTCTGAAAAAAAGCTAACTTAAGAAATCAGAATGAATTACTTGAACAACAAATCAGAATGAATTACTTGACAACAAACAGTCAAAATTCAGCAATTTACCTCCTAATTTAATCCAAACATGTTCAGGCAGTGCCTTATTTCTAGGCCCAACAGTCTGTTTTGTAGCCTCAATTTCCTGCTGGTAACAAATAGAAAAAGCTCGAGGTAACCCAAGATCTTGATGTTTGGCTGTTTCCAGAACAGAGGCTCCAGAGCTCTAAAAGAAAATGTATGTATCAGTATGAAATGAAGCCAACTGTAAATCATGTTGGCCATCCTTTCCTTTTATTGAACAATACAGGCATTGTAGTCCTAAAGTTGCATTGGTGCTGCTCCTGCTAAGCTTCTCCTTCCACCATTCAATGACTCCACATACAGTGGTACCTTGAGTTAAGAACTTAATTCGTTCTGGAGGTCCATTCTTAACCTGAAACTGTTCTTAACCTGAAGCACCACTTTAGCTAATGGGGCCTCCTGCTGCTGCCGCACCGCCGCTGCACAATTTCTGTTCTCATCCTGAAGCAAAGTTCTTAACCCGAGGTACTATTTCTGGGTTAGCGGAGTCTGTAACCTGAAGCGTCTGTAACCCGAGGTACCACTGTACTCAGAAAAGTCTCATCTAGTGCAGCCCAAGAAATGCCTATTCCAATCTTGAGTTTGGATTTGCTGCTAGTCATGGAATGGTTAATTGTAATGAAATGGTTAATTTTAATGAAATTCTAACCCACTTACCTGGGAGTAAGCGCCACTGAATTAAATAGATCTTACTTCCGAGTAGGCATGGTTAGGATTGACCTTTTAGTCATGAAGTTGTTAATTTTAACTACAATTGGCCCTCTCATTTACTGGGGGCAGAATTCTACTACTTTGTCCTCTCTGTGCAAGGTGACAATCTTCCCTCTCCTCTCCCAAGCACACCCCATGCCTTCTCTAAAACTGCTCTGGAAGGTTGTGGGAACCCCTAAAACAGATTTAGGGGTTCATAGGGTGAGGGGAGAAGTTCCATTGCACTAGAAGTAAACCTTGTGCTGATCAGACCCTGGATCACATTCCTTATAGTTATAATGTAGCTCTAGATATTGGATGATGCTCATATTTTTGTTATATTAGCTCTAGGCTAGGCATTGCAATACTTTTTGAAATTTATAAAGCCCTGTTCAATGAATAAAGTGCTTTACAATTTGTATCTCATTGCTAATACAACCTGGCATGTAGACTTTAGCTCTGTCTCTCATCCTAATATAAATACCATTTATGATTCTTAGGCTATTACCACTGCCAACTTCACAAAGTATTATAGTAAGGTATGGGTATTAAAAGACCAGCAAAGAAATAGTTCATCTGAATAGCTTTCAGTCTAGAAAGGTTTATGTAAGATGCAAATTTCCAATTTTGGGAAGAGAGGGTTGTTCCAAATACTGACAAATCAAAGTGAAAAAGAGCAATGGGAGTTATAAAAAAATAAGATTACAACTCAAGATAAGTGTCACGATTATAAGAAGGAATTGAAAGAACTTTACAGTAGAAGCTAAAGAATGAAGATAGAGACGGTGACATGAATTCAAGAACAGATAAGAAGCCATTTTTTTCTGCTCAAGAATAACAAGTCTAAAGTCTACTTGGACTAATGGTTCTTCATATCCTGGCCAATGCTAATTAATTTATTTCACCAAATAACATGAAACAAGTGTCAGATAACTTTACAGTTCAAAACTCAGATTGACAATTCTCTTGTTTACTGCATTCTCTTCAGAAGTTTTACTATGACTAATATAAAGCTTTGAAACCAAACGGCTGCAATTTAAATAATAATAATAATTCAAAAATACCAACCTGTGTTTGTGAAGGGTTTGCATTTCCAGTTACAGGAGAAGCAACATTCGGATTAAACAGTGGGCATGTAAACTGCAATGCAGTAGTCGTAGTAGCAGCAGTCTTATTTTTCACTAATGTGGTACATTTGTTCTGTTGCTGGTGGAGAGGAACACCCATCACTTCTGAAGGATGGCGAATTAGAGTTACTAAACTATAAAAGGAGTGAATAAACAAAGGCACTTATTTGAAATGATTGGATTAGAATAGCCATTTTGCTGCATAATCTTCCACATCAGTAGACAACCCAGTATAGGTTCAGAATTCTAATATAACCCATCTCAAACATATATTTTAACATATAAACTAATGATTCAGGCATGGGGAACCTACAGCCTTTCTGATGTACATGGACTACAAATCCCATCATCCCTGACCACTGGTCATGCTGGCTGGGGCTAATGGGAGTTGGAGCTGAGCGAAGACAGAAAGTAGCCTGTATTCTAAACAGCAGGATTCTCTCTTGCTTTTTACAGCAGCAGCGGCAGCATTCTTCATTCTCTGCATTCCTCCTTTCAAGCTGAAACCTTGGAGGATGAAAAGGGGAGGATGGGAAAAGACTTTATGAGCCTCCCACACACTTCTTTGCACCTCTGATGTGCTAAGCCCTTTGCAATCCTCTCCCCTTCTCTGCACCCATGATGTTAGAGGTGCAACAGGGAAAGGGGGTAGGATTGCAAAAGGCTTTCATAGCCTCCAAGCACAGCTGCCTTCCATCTCCTATGTCAAAGGTAGAAAGCATCTGTGTGGGGCAGCTTCCAGGAGCAACGCTGGGAGAAGCGGTTTCCACTGGTTGGAAACCATGTGCCCGTCCTCAAGCAAAGAGCTCAGCTCTCCTAAGATCTTCCCCTTTCCACCTCATGTTGCTGGCACAGCCAGGTGGGATGATGAGTTGGCCTGGCAGGCAAAGGAAGGAGGCCAGAAGTAGCAGCAGGTCAGGCTGAAGATCTGCTGCTGCTTTATCCAGGCCAACTTCATTTTAATTGGTGGCAACAGCAGCAGACTAGAAGACCTTACCATGCTTCTAATCAGCCATGGAAGAAGCAGAAGATCCCCAAGTTGGAGTGGCACCAACTAGCCTGGGGCTCTGGATCATGGGAGCAAGAACCCCACAGCTGCCAAGTGGAGGAGCCAGCAGAGCAGGGAAGCTCCTGGGGAACTGCTACAGCCTGTTCTGACTGTCCCTCTGAAGCTTGCCTGGGCCACCCATCTACCACCTTTTTCGCACTATAGTTCACAGCACCACCTGTCTGTGGCCAGATGAACTGCAGTGTGATGAAACATTTGCATTTTTATTATATGTAAAGAAAGGACACATCATACACCTGGGCTGCCTGCAGCTCCCTGTTGTGTAGCAAACCCAGCTTTGCTGGCACATGGTGTGGAGTGGCCCTTGGGTACATGGACAGGAAGTCTGGGTTGGTTGTTTGGTACTGACTTGCAATGCTGTGATATATGGTAGCAATCGCTGGTGGGATTGCAACTATAAGTTCAGCATTATGGGCTTACTTCATGGGCACTCAGAATTTAGGGTTATTGTAAAAAGAAAAGTGCAGTATAAATCCACCAGCCAAGGCTTGGCTTTAACCATGTTCATCAAATGATGCCAGTCACAAATAAATAAAAGAAGCAAGTTGCTGGAAAAGTTGCACACTGCAGTTTTTAGAGTGCGAGTATGCTGATGGATCCATTCACAGGTGGATAATGTAATGACACTGAAATCTTAAAATCTACAGTTTGATATAGAATTGATACAGAATCAAAGAATTGGAGGGGGCCTTGTAGACCACCTGGTCTAGAGTGGCAACTTATGAATTGCCAAAAGGATGAAATACACCACCACAATAGAGGAGAACAGATTTGCCCATAAGCTGCATGTTTTAATTTATATGCAAAAATGCAAATTTAGAAATAATTACCACAATTTCAATACAAATGCAATCTTTATATGAAAATCTCACAAAACAGTGACTAGGTATCTTGTGTGCCTGCTTAGTCTGTTTCCAGTTGCTACTGATGCAGAACTTCAAGACCTCTGCTTTCCTTTCTAATGCTTATTTATAATTAAACACGTTTGAACCAGAAGCCCTTCAAACAGAAGACTTCACTCAGTACACATGACCCTCCTACTCTGGTATAATCCCCCACTTGATACAGGAGATCCAGAGCTAGAGCTTCATCAAAAGTAAAAGTAACTGGCATTTTGCCACAGCTTGCACTCTAGTGGTCTTCGTATAGCAGCAAAACTGAAAGTGCAGGAGATAAAAAAATCATGTAGATCCAAAGAACTTGAGGAACATCCTGAAAGCTTACATATACGCTATAGTGTGGCTCAGTTTAAATGCTAGTTTTTCTAACATCAGGTAAGATCTAGGACGCACACATGATATAGTCAAGGAATATTGGAGACAGGTCTAAAATCACTTACTACCAATTACTTTTGCCTATCCACCCCTTTGTATCAAACGGTGAATCCACACAATTTTAATTGATAGAAATCAGAACTTACAGATTGGAATTACTCCTTATTAATAAATGCAAAGCATCTTGGGTATGCACCCTAGTATGTTCGATTGACAGAGGCCACAGTTAATATACATGATTAAGCTGAGATTAAAGGAAATAAAAATGTAACACACTTGTTAATGGCTACTCCAGTTTCCTGGGTTTCTTGACATCTGGGAAGTTCAGCCTGGATACTGTTGAATCTGTCTTCCAATCGAACACGGACTGCAGATTTGGCTCTGGATTCAAGAATTGGTGCTGAATTTTCCACAGGCAAATTTTCTTTATTTAGCCCGCCCAAGTTTTCACTATGTTTGGCTTTAACTGAACTCTGCCCAGTCATCTCCACAGAGCTACTATTGGGAGTTTTTTCAGCTTGGTTTGGAGGGATGCTAGACTCACTGAGCAACATCATTCTTAGCTCCTGGAAGTCAATGTGCCCTAGACACTGATTAGGACCCATGAAATTGCTGTCAGAGGCTAAACCAGACTGACAGATAATGGGATAAAGTGACTGGTTTCCAGAACTGTTTGATGAAAAGCCACTTAGACTGTTACTAGATGATGACAGGTATTGTGATTGATTTGCAGGATTGTTAGTGGAGAAGGAACTTGAATTCAGCCTATTTTCTGCTTCATTTTCATTTGCTTGTGCCTCCATATGGGAATAGAGTATGTGCTGAAGTTGTGTGTATTCTATTTCTGTCATTTCCACCAGGCTGAGATCCGTGGTGGTGAAGCTCAGGTTTTGCTCACCGAAAGAGGAATCTGCTGGGCCTTCAGCAGCAGAAGCAGTAGAAGCTGGATCTGTAACCACAGCCCGAGGGTTGGAAGTTTCGGACACCTTGGAGGTTGAGTCTGACATGATACTGGCGAATACCAATGTCTCAAAGTCTTCAGAAAGCTGAATGTACAGGGAGTAAACACCACCAGCTTGGTGCAGCAAAACTTTGCAAATAATAGGTGCAATCAGGAGCTAGTGCTTTTAAAGATGCGCTGATTAGCCTCCACAAAACAGTTGTTGATTTGCCTTATGCTTCCATTACATCCTCTGCACATTAACTTTCCCAATTCTTGACAGCGCCAAAAGCTAAAAAACATCGATGGCATCCAAAGCATATGAGTGGCTCAATGTTTTGTTAAAAATTGAAATGTTACGTTCTCCAAAAAGTGCCTGAAGTTAAAAGATGCCAAATAAAATATCCAATCCTCCCTTGGGATGTGTGTGTGTGTGTGGATGGGTTTGGGGGATGGAAAGGGGGTCCTATCCTTTTTTTAAAAGGAGAAGCGCAGGGTACTTCAAAACCCAGAGCCAAAAAGGGAAAGCACAAGATAATTGCACACCACCCTTTAAAAATGCATAAGATAATATTTTTAAAAACAATTAGAGGGTGTCTTCAGCCCCTGGCAATCAAACTTTTCAAGGGGAAAGAGGGACTGAGCCCCTTCTGAATGAGACCCCCCCTCTTCTCCAGTGGCAGGTGAAGCATGCAATCGAAGCTCCTTTCTGGGGGGGGGGGATGCGAATTGGGGAGGAAACCTGGCCAGCTCCAGGCAGGTAACCAATGGCGTCAGCGCCCCCACCTGCCCACCTCTGAGGGCAGGCCCAAACCAGGTAACCAAGCACCCCCTTAGCAACCGACGGGAGGGCGGCCCCGCCCACCACCCGCCTCCCAGCCCTCGCGCCGCCTCCAAACGGCCCCTGGGCTCCCCGAGGGGGGCCGAAGCCCCGCCTCCCCAAACTACCCCTCCAACGGCCAAAACCGCGGAGGGGCGGGGCGTTGGGAAGCCCCGCCCGCGCCTCGTTGGAGGCCGAGGGAGCAACGGCCGCGCCAGCTCCCTCAGCCAGTGCCTTTAGGGATGGGGAGCTCAACTGTCGTATACCATGTCTTCCACCTCACGGTCTCTGCTCTCCACACCCCTCCCCCCCCCAAACAACAAAACAAAAAAATCCCTCCACGCTATTCCTTGCCATTGGAAGCGAATTCCCCCGTCATAAACTTGCATGTAATGGACGGGTTTTTTTTGGGGGGGGGAGCGTTAAACCCCTCAACAAAAGTTTCCCCCCGCCGCCGTCGTTATAAAGCTTCCACACAATATGGCGCCTCACGGGCCTCAGGTTCTTCGTCACCTGCGAAGAATGAATTGGGAGGCGGCATTCGCCTCATTCCCTCAGTGTTTCGTTTCCTTAAGCGGCTGCTCCCCACAGTGCGAGGTACTTACTCCCTACGTGTGGAGGCTGCCAGTCGTGGGCAGCTTGAAGGCCAGACTCGAATCCTGCTGCTCCTCTCGAGTAGGCCCGTTGGAAGCCAAGGGACGTGATGCGTTCGGGAGCCGAAGCTTCTTGCCCCGTCGGCTTCGGCGGGCCTGTCCCTTAAGCATGAGGGGCTCAGTCCATGCCTACTCGGAAGTAAGCGCCGCTGAATCCTGCGGGGCTTGCTCCTAGGTAAAGGGGCTCCTTGGAGAGATGCTGAGCGCAGCAGCAGCAGCATCTCTCCAAGGGCAAGATCTCCTTGGATCGTTGATCCAGAGCATCCCGCTCCATATTGGGCAACACAAAAGATTTTTTAAAAAATAAAATAAAAACCGCATAAAGCCGTATAGAAATCACATCAAATCATAAATTATCCTCCGCGTTTCCCGCAAGGATATACAGTACACTGATTTTTTTTTAAAAAAAAAAACAACAACCCATGAATGCCGTTGCGTCCAATTGCAAAGGCAGGTTTCGCTTCTTGCACATCTGTTCAGAAAATGGGATTAAACTCCCGGGATTGTAAACCCTAATTTACAAAAGTCCGGCTACACATAACCTTTTTTTTTTTTTTGAATCACATATTGCACCCTCCTCTGAACCATAACACATTTAAATATGAGTTTTGTTTTGCTTAATTGCTTTGAGTATTAAAAAAAAAATCGTTTCGTTTTGCTAGTTTGGGCTGGCCCTGAATCTCTAGGATAAAAGCCAAGAACAGTTCAAACTCATTAAGAGAGTTTTGAAATATTAAGCAGTATACAGCATAAATGCTTCCAAATAAATATATGCATTACCATTTATATTTACATAATTGTTACTTTTAAATGTTAAACGTCTGGAAGAGGCAGCTGTTCCACAATGAGGAAATGTTCCTTAAGCTAAATTCTTTTCTCTTAAGTACCTATCTCCAAAAGAAATCACCTTTCCCCTTAGGTTTTCCTAGCCTAACTTTACAGTCGTTGCAAAAATAAAAGAACAAATTCCTCTCTCAGGACTTCCATGTATTATAGAATATATTGCTGACATAATGCTGTCAGCTGCATCAAATTCTTTTGCTGGCTAGCTCACTGGGCTGTTTTGAATATTTTTTTATTTTATGGATTTTTGCGGCTTCTGCAAGTACATGGATAGCTCCGCTGTTTCTTGGTGACTCCATTTGGACGACAGTCCTATCCATACTTTCCCACCAAAGCTTGCTATAGTGATGGCTGGGTGGAAAGGTAAGTTCTAGCTTGCTACAGTATCGCAAGACCTAATACTTGACAATTTGCAGGTGAATATGTGAATTGCCACTATTAAAATGTATTTGCCATAATTTCAGCTGCTACAGTGTCCTGATGCATTCAGGAAAATTCAGGCACCTATGGCATGGGCAGGAAATTTGCCACCCAATGCTTTACTGAGTGATAAATGTACAGTGGTACCTCGGGTTACATACGCTTCAGGTTATACTCCGCTAACCCAGAAATTCTATCTCGGGTTAAGAACTTTGCTTCAGGATGAGAACAGAAATCATGCTCCGGCGGCACGGCGGCAGCAGAAGGCCCCATTAGCTAAAGTGGTGCTTCAGGTTAAGAACAGTTTCAGGTTAAGTACGGACCTCCGGAACGAATTAAGTTCTTAACCAGAGGTACTATTTCTGGGTTAGCGGAGTCTGTAACCTGAAGCGTATGTAACCCGAGGTACCACTGTATGTGAAACAGCCCTGCTGCCTGTTTTAATCCTGCATTCCCCTTCTACTAAATAAGAGGTAGCTAGTTCCTGTAAGTCAGCTGTGTTTCATCGCTCTTTTGTGCAAGAAAACAAAATGTTTGAAATCTATCACAGAAGAACATACGTATCTTACAGGAGTGGCAGCTTGGCCCCGAGACCATGGGTGCCATGTGGCGTGCATGGCCCTGGCACCAAAATTTGTGGGTGCTCGGGCACCCAGGGAGTTGGTACCTATGGCATGGGTAAGCAAACTAAGGCCCAGGGGGATCACCTTCTAAATCCAGCCCGCGGACGGTCTGGGAATCAGCATGTTTTTACATGAGTAGAATATGTCCTTTTATTTAAAATGCATCTCTGGGTTATTTGTGGGGAATGGGAATTCGTTCTTTTTTTCTCTCTCTCCAAAATATAGTCCAGCCTGCCACAAGGTCTGAGGGACAGTGGACCGGCCCCCTGCTGAAAAAGTTTGCTGACCCCTGATCTATGGTATTCAACCATGCCGTTTTTTCCAGCCTCTCGCATCTCCTTTCCCCTCCCACTTATTTTCAATTCCCCCCTCTCAACAGCCTATCAGCATTCTACATACTCTGCTTCTTTGCATAGCTGTTGTTCTGGCTGCATAAATGAGGGTGCTCAGATTTGGAGTAAAAGTACAGGACGAATTGTTTGATTTAGCCTCCTTTATCACTGCAGCAGTTCTGAGGAGACTTTAGGGACTCTTGAAACCATTGAATTCTTTTAGCTTGCATTCTGTAATCAAAGATCCGTATCATATGCCAATGTGTCCCACCTTTGCTCTAAAAACTGTCATTATTATTGGCAGGCAGTGGTGCACCTCCTCCACTTCCCAGCCCAATTTAACCATGTGCTGAGATATTCAGAGCAATATCCCATAGGGTTTGGCTTACTCTGTGCTGGAATACTGGAATCTAGATTTTTGTCCGCCAAGATTTGACTCACCAAAGTAAGCTCCCCATTTTCACTCCCCCCCCCCCCCCGGTAATACAGGAAGGACACCCCTTTAGCTTCTGCACTGAACAAGTACATTCAAGGGACAGGATGAGTGGTGTAATCCCATTCCCTTCAACATAAATTCAGCCTAAAGTTGGAGCTCTGCATACAGCTCATGTGTGTACCAAATTTCAGTTATTGTTAATGTACAAGTGCAATGGTCGGGGGGGGGGTACATTTCACACACCCTCTTTCAATAATAGGTTAACAAATGCCAGCCATCCCCCAGGTGAGGCTTTCCTAGTACAGTATCTGTTTTGTGAGTTACAGGTAGGTAGTCGTGTTGGTCTGCCGTAGTCAAAACAAACAAACAAACAAACAAATTCTTTCCAGTAGCACCTTAGAGACCAACTAAGTTTGTTATTGGTATGAGCTTTCGTGTGCTTATCTGAAGAAGTGCGCATGCACACAAAAGCTCAATAACAAACTTAATTTGTCTCTAAGGTGCTACTGGAAGGAATTTATTATTATTTTGCTTTGTGGGTGTTTGAAGTATCTTGATCATGATCTCAAATATACTTTATGGCTACAGTTTTGTAGAGAAACCTTCCAATAAAGAGCCCTGGGGGTTGCATCAATTGCTGCATGAGTGCAAGGGAAGACCTGGGTTCAGTGTAGTACTGAGAGGCATGACTGCTGTACTGACATGCAGACAGAGCACTGAGCATCATGTCACAGGACTGTTTGGCCAACAGCCAACCAAATGACCATACTTTTTTGTTGTTGTTAAACTATTTGAGTGATGTATTCCTCGTTTTACTAAGTGATCTCTGGCTGAGGAGCTCATCTAGTGGTTGCAAAGTCAACTACCCATTCCTCTTGCATCTTCTCAAAATAGAGATACCCTGTTCTGCAATCAACTATCCAAAGAAACTGAAGCATTAGAGTAGTGTATTTGGATTAATGTGGCAGATTCTGCTATGAAAATATTGATACAATGGCTTTCTTTAGATGTTTATTTGACTTACAGTAACAAAAACCTATGAAGTTCCACATTTAATGTACAGTGATATATTCTGAAATATAAAATACAATTTACAGAAACCCCTTTCAAATAAACCTAAACAAACACTTGATTTTGCATACTTTCATATATATCTAAGTTAGAAACATTTTGAATAGAAAAATTACATCATAGTAGATATTTATGTTCTACACTACCTCTTTCTTTTTAATATTTTTGCAAAAGAGTTTTGCATACAGGTCATTGTTTAAATCAGTTTGTCCTTGATGTTTAAAGTGTAAGATGTACCAATATAAAGTGTAAATCTGTAGTGATTTATTTATAGGAGTAGTGCTACTTGAAATGCAGATCTGAAAATGCCAATGTTACGAATCTATTTTTACATTTGCAAAATGTTTATAAAAATATCAAAGTAACTGCTCAACTATAAGTGCATAAATTCAGTTAAACTGGTAGGATTTCCCCCCATGAATTCTTTTGAATTATGAACTTGAAAGATACAGGAAAAGTAATAGTATACTGCATTATTTCACAGTGAAAAGCTCTCCTCTTTAAAGCAGATTTGTTAGTATCAGTTTTACTACTCCATTTTTTACACAAATATTTATTTCCAATGTTATCAAGATAGCCATGAGTGTGGCAAGGGCTGAGGATGTATTCTAGCCTAATTTAAGCACTTTTAAGCTCCACATATTTCAATGGGGCAATTATTACATACTTAAATGTCTCCCATTGTTATTAGCAAGACTCAAAGGTACTTAACACCACTTGTCCAAATATTTTACTTTGAGCACTGGAAAAGTCAAACTGCTTATCCATATTTATTCTGCACAAAGGATTAGATCTGCAAACTACTCTCTTTTCAGTCAGTCATTTGAACCATTTATAAAATGTTTTCCAATAAGTATGTTTTAAAAGTTTAGTTGCTTTGTATAGAGGTGTAATTAATTTTTAATCAATTACACTTTTTGTACAAATTCAACATTAAAAACCTTAAACTAAACAGGAAATATGGTTACTTACTCAGGCATTTTTTTGTCTTAGTTGAAATCTAACTCAAAATGCCCTCATGTAAAAAGGAAGATAATGAACCTAGAAGCTTAATGTTTATTATTCAAATACTCTGCCAGCTGCTAGAAATACTGCTCCCCAGCAATCTTTCTTTAAATACACAAAATCCTGCCCTAATTAGCTCAGGACAGAAATGTTGGGCTCTCCTCAATGTAGGAACTACTGTACTGAAACTCCAAAATACTATATATTTAAGATGTAATGGTATGGCTTCTAAGATATTGTTTAAATTTTCATAAAATTACATTTCAAGTTAGTGGAAAACATAACTTTACATCCATAAAAAGCAATGTGCTCATTGAAGAGAGTTCCCATTTTTACTTCTGTAAATGGAAATTTAAAGACAAAGTAAGTAGGAAAAAAGCAACATTTTAGAACTGTAATGCTATAGGCATTAGTTTTTCTGTGTGGATGGAATATTGGATCCCCTGGTCCCGGACCCCTGGTCTAGCAGGCAGTGCAATGGTCCAAGGCTAGGGGAAAACAGTATTCAGGCACTGTGCCCATGCGGGAAAGGATTGTGCCTTACATATCTTATAGAGGGAGGAGGCGAACAAAATGTAGCAAGTCCAGCATGTACCTGCTTAATATATGAATATATGCATTTACAATCCAAAATCTCATTTGTGAAACAGGTTTTACCAAACTATGCCTAACGATCAGAATATACAATATGTACAAGTAATAAAGAGTCATGTTTTTCTTCCTCATGTGGCTCATTATTGAAGAATTATTATGTTTCTATGTCTGCTTAGCGGAAGAAGCTTCTGCATATGATGCCCTTTGGCCACCAGTTTGTGTTTCTTGCTTAGAGTCCTTATCGCACTCCTTACTTTTACTCCGGTCCTTGCGATCTCTTGCTCTGTCTTTGTCACGGTCTCTATCTCTTTCTCTATCCCTTTCTCTGTCTCTACTTCGAGCTCGTTCTCTGTCCCTGAATCTGTCATAATCACGGTCTCTGCTTCTTGATCTGTCTCGTCTTCGGTAAGTATCTCCATCTCTGGTTCTGGCTCTCTCTCTGGTTCTTTCCCAGTCTTTCCCCCTTTCTGAATCTCTATCCCTGTCTTTGTTATAGTTTCTCTCTCTGTTTTTATCCCAGTCTTTTTCTTTATGTCTCTCCCATTCCCTTTCTCTCCCCCTATTCCAGTTTCTGCCACGGTCCCTTTCCCAAGCCCAGTTGTGGTCACGATCTCGTCGTCTATCATCCATTACTCTATTTGATCGATTATCTGACTGATCAGACTGCTCTAGTATTTTTTCCTTATTACCTCCCTCAAATCTCTCTCTTTGTCTCCCTTCAAAAGTCTGAGCTCTATAGTCATTACTTCGGCCATCTCGAAAATCAGATGCTGACCACTGTGCTTCTGTCTCAGAACCCTGCCCTGAAGTATTAGGATGAGAGGCAGGTGGTCCAGTTTCATCCCACATCTCTTTCCTGTGCTGAGGTGGATGACTTGGAAGATCCAAGAGTGGTCTGGGGCTTGGTTTCATACTTTGCTGAGATTGTCCTGGAAAGTTATGTCTATTTGGGGGAGGTTCATTTTTTTCTGGAAATAGACCAGGTGCAGGTCCCCTTGGTCCTCCAAACTGATGTGGTGCTTGACCTCTCTGATTTGGAAACCTGGGTGGTGGGCTCCCTCTCCGTTCTTCAAACGGTGGTGGTAGAAGTCCTCTTGGTCCTGGCATGTGACTTGGAGCAGGTCCTCTTTGTCCTTCAAACTGATTTGGAGGAGGACCTCTTGAACCACCAAAATGATTAGGTGATGGACCTCTTGGCCCTCCAAACTGAGGTGACGGGCCTCCTCTTTGACCTTTAAATTGATTTGGTGGAGGCCTTCTTGGGTTCCCGAAAGGAAAGGGTGAAGGTCCTCTATTTCCCATAAACTGCGGAGGCTCAGGTCCTTCAAATTGTCCAGGACCACCACTCATCTCATGATATTGGGGATCTGCATATTGGGAATCCCTGTGTTCCATGTGAGGTTCCCTATGCTCTTCAAATTGAGAAGGTGCAATTTCTCTTGGCCCATCAGGAAATGATTGTGAAGGGCCCCTATTATCACCAAAATGTGGTGGTGGTGGTCCATGTTGTGCAGAAAATAAGGAAGGGATAGGTGCTCTTGGGGCTCCAAACCTGTTGGGTGGAGGCCCTCTTTGTCCATCATTATTTGGTAGAGGATTATGCCCTTCAGTAAACTGTTGTGGTAGACCCCTCTGTCCATGGAAATCTGGAGCACCACTCATTAATGGAGGACCGCTTTTGTGTCCAAGAGAAGAAAATGGGGGCCCACCTCTTTCTTCATCATTTTTAATTGTGGGTGACTCCATTTGTTCATAAAAGTGGCAAGGCTGTGGATTTCTTTGGTCTTCATAATGTGATGGACCTCTTTCTGTTTCAAAATGACCAGGAGCTTTCTCCTGAGATGGGAACACTGGGCTTGGGAAAGAATCCCTTGCTACCCCTGGAACATTTTTCTCTTGAGATTCATTTGACCAAGCTATAGACTGAACACTGTTAGGTGAAGAGAAAGTAGGGAGGAAACATGGATTGACAGGGGTGGGTAGCAGTACTTTACGAACAGGTGCAGTTGTAGATGTTTCAATAGAAGCTGGTTTATTTACAGTTTCCTGGTGAACCTGTGGGGCATTTTCAAGGTTGATAGTGGGCACATCTTGTTCAGACATAACAGAACCTTTTTCACTAGTAACCCATGTATCTTTATGACTAGGATGAGGGGCAGAAATCAGTGTTTTATCTGCTTTGTCAAGTGCAGTTTGCAATGGACCTGCATAGCTGGGTGGAGGGATTTGTACTGTAGGCGATTCTATAACATGCTGCTTTACATTAGAGTCAGCACTTTCATTACACTCTGTTAGAATCCTTCTAGCTTGTCTGGGATCTCTACTTTGTCTAGGATCACTTCCCTGATTTAACAATTGAGTTTGACTTGTGGATGTAGGCAATTCAGATTTTTCAGTAGTTTGTTTTTCATGTTGGAATAGCTCATTTTTTGCTAGAGATGATTTTGGAGGTGGTGACATCAAAGCATCAGAAACTGAAAAATGAGCCATTGATACACCAACAGCTGCTCGTTGTTGCCTGAGGGCTTCTTCTTGTTCTTCCAGCTGTCTTTTCTGTTCTTCTATTTGTTTGTTTAATTCTTCTAACATTTTCTGTTGCTCTACCAAAGATGGTGGAGCAGAGACATCGGGCACAAATGAAGATGATGCTGTCAAGGAGTGGCTTTTAGATTCCGAAAACATTTTATTAGGCAAATCATCAACAGTAACCTTTGCCTCTTCTAAGATAGTTTCATCTTCTGGATCATAGGCTTCATCTTCTTGCTCTGAAGTTTCACATCTTTTTTCAAGACCACTTTCAGAACTTTGCATTTCAAAAGCTTTCTGTGGAGCATACTCTTCCTCAGGATCATAAGGCCTGTCATCTTCCTCCTCTTCTATAGCTTTGTCTTTCGACATTTGTCCAAATTGCTGCACAATGGGATCAAGTATGGGAGCTGCTGGTAATCCTTCCTCACCAACAGTTTGCATTTCAGTCTGAGCACCTTCAGAATCCTTGGAAACAGGATCAAAAGATTTCTTTTTCCCGAAAAGAGTTTGCAGGATGTGATCAAGTGGTGTGGCTGATTTTGAAGATGAGGAAGCAGTAGAAGGTGCAGTAGCTGTGTTAATTCCCAACACTGAAGCACTTGATTGCGCAACAGTGGCTGAGCTTCCAGATTTAATAGATGACAATATTTTTAACACAGAAGTTGGCTCTGGGGGTGGAGGTGGAGGAGATCCAGGTGGTGTTGTACTGACAGTTGTTTCTCCAGTATAGAGAGAGAATTTTGAAGGTTTTTTCTCTTGCTGAGAAGCCATATTGCCTTTAGGGTACGCAGATACTTCAGTTTCTTCCTGCAACTGAATCCTGCTTTTCTTTTCTTCCGTCTTTTCAGTTTCCAGTACAGCTGCAGGTCGCTTAGTTTTCTGACAAATTACTAATCCAAGAATTAAGTTTGGACGTGCTGATTCAAGACCTGTAAGACAAAACAAGATTTCGTGTAAGATTTTTTTAAAAAAAATTAAGCTTGAAATCAGTCATTGCTAAGATTTGTAACAAACAATGTGAAAAATGTTACAGAACACTATGCATACTCTACTTTATTAATGAATGTAATAATAATTAGAGGAAAACAGCACATTAAAGTAACTATCAGACTATAAATAAGTCAAAAACTGTATTTTCTTCTCAATATTACTGAGAAACCAATATATGCTTTTATGTAGTAAAACGGATAATTGTCACTTGATGATGATGTTGTTATCATCATCCTAACTTTACCCCAGACAGATACTCAAGGCTGCTTACAGATAAAAAAGAAACAGCTAAAAACTTAGGGGAGGGGGAAACTATTTAATTCATGGCACCAGCCCTTTCCTTAAAAACAGTCAGAAACAAAAAGGCTGTTGGAATAAGAATGGCTTCACCTGCTGTCCGAAGGACAGCAAGGAGGTAGCCAGTTGAACTTCTCTGCCTATGTACATGATGCCTATGATGTTCCTCCATGGATCATGTCACTTATCTACAAAGCACAACCCTTGCAGTACAGTCCTATGCCTACCCACAACCAAGTCCCATTAAGTCCAATGGTACTTACTCCCAGGTGAGCATTATTAATTTATCATCCATCCCACAAGGTCACATGTCAGGTTACAGCAATGTAATGCACAATATTAATATCAATTTAAAACAAATGCAATCAAAATAATAGGGTGGGAACCAAAAATATATATCTCAGGTGTCAAAGGCCAGGGTAAAGAGGTGTGTCTTCATCATGCACCAGAAACTGCATTTTTAAAAGGTGCTGAATGCATCTCTGTGGAGAAGGAATTATATAACTTAGCAGCTGCCGCATAGTGCCCTCTCCCAGGCCATCACCACCCAGGGTGGCAGAACTATCAAGAGGGCCCTCTCTGCTGATCTTAACACCCAAGAGGATCTGTAGGAAATAAGGTGTTTTAGACACTGGGACGTAGTTTAGGGCTTTAAACACTAGCATGAGCACCCTGAATTAGGGTATGATGAGTTCTAAATGGAATCCCAGTAATTTGGCTGCTGTATTTTTTAACCAATTAACCTTTCAGAGACTGATTAGATCCTTAATAAAGAGTGGCTCTTATTATTATTAGTTACTTGTGGAATCCTCAAATTTAGGATTCCACAAGTAACTATATAAATTATCAGAGGGTAATAGAAAACTGTGCATTTTTATGATTTCCAAATAATTAACAAATCAACAGCCAAATGAGTAGGGTGTTGTTTATTATTATTATTATTATTATTATTATTATTATTATTATTACCACCACCACCACCACTACCACCAGTTTTGCCAGTCCTACTTTCAGCAGACATACAAACATCTGATCTTTCTGTAAGTCATATTGATGGTTAACAAAGCACTGCATAATGACTGGGGAAATACAGAATTACTCAAAGGAGAAATGGAACAGAGGTAATTATGGAATAGACTGCTGAGAGAGAGATCCAGCAATTTCCAGTTTAGTTAAATGTTTCAATAGCGATTTAACCTTACAAGGTTAGTATCACTAGGTCAACAAATAGAATATACACACACCTAGGCTTTTACCATTCATACTATTATATATGGAAAATGAGTAACAATAAAACCCCTGGAAACCACTGTTGTTCTGTTTCATAAGGTTCCGCTTAAGTTTTACATTACTATACATACAACAGAGACTCCAGCCCTAAGAACTGGACAGTCATGTAGATGAGTCTGATAATGCATTGCTTTTTCTTTCCTCAACTCCAATTTTACTGTCCATTCTGCCCACTTGTGCAAACGTTCAGGAATATAGTTAAGAGTATATGAATATTATAGACTTAAGAATAGTTAAATGCCATGATAGTTCACACCCTAATAGGTTACAGTAAAACAGATCAAATATTAAGTAGTCCATTTCAATTTATTAGAGGAGTGCTAAGTAATGAGGATGAAGGATCTCATCTTCTGAGAATAATTTTATTTCCAATTTGCATTAAATGTATTGTCATTTGGAGGAAGATAAGGGCAAGTACAATATTCAACTGATGCATTATTTCCAAATTTCTAGTCTTTTTATACCTTAGTTCTGCATTATATCCAATACTTTCATCTAGCAATCCCAGTGATTTAGCCCATCAGATGCCTCCCACAATCACTAAAGTAATAATTACTGGAGTGGCTACTACTGTACATTTTGGCAGTCAATGCATTTATTTTGATTTTCTCCTTTTAGTTGGTTGTGTTCAATTCTCCTTTGTGTGTGATCTTTAAGTAAAGCTGAAGTACTAATCATTTCCATTACTATTACTTTTTAAGATTTTGATCTTAACACTGATCATGTTTATTAACTTAAGTTGCCCTAAATATATTTAATAGGAAAAAAACTTCACTTTGTTTCTCTTAAAATGAAGGAAGTTGGCATTTCAGTTGAAAAGTATAAATTGTTTGGCTGCTTAAGATGTAGCATGTGCTCAGAAAGTCTGCTGAATAAGGATAAAAACCAACGACTTAACAAATGTATTGCATGAAATAGGAAACTACTTTTAGAAGACAAAATGTTTTAGAGCAGCAAAGAATAAATGTAGAATGATCATTACTAATAACTCCACATTAAAAAAACCATGGTTGTGAAAAATGTTTATTCTGACCTTTTAAAAAATTAGTTTGTAATGCCGAAGGAAGCTGCCATTTGCATCCCCTTAACTGTTCTGATTAATTTATCTTCCAATCCTTTACACCATTACCTGGGAGTAATTCCCATTGAACTCACTGGGCACACTTCTGAGTGACCATGCAGAGAATTGTACCTAATCTTTCATGGACAATTTGATCAGCTTTTGCCTATTAATCTTACAAAGATCTGTGGTACTCCACATAAACTTTGGTGTTCTCAGAACAATCCACCTACACTTCTGTCAAGCTGTGTTTTCTCCTTCCATCACTTTTTTGACACTCTGAGCAGTTCTACTGTAATGCTGGCATTCAAAAGTGTTGTGTAGTGTTGAGCTAGGCTTACTGGGTTCAAACTATATACTTATATTGCCCTCAAGGTGGCCAACCCAGTTTTAAAACCAATGGGGATGTAGGTGAGAAGTTACATGGAAATAAAAATGATTTTGCATTAGTTAACTACAATCTCTTGTGCACAGCTAAGAAGTATTAAATACTGTAACTGGTTATAAGTAACTAACCTAGTTAATTTAGAAAGGGTGGGCAGAAATGTTTTATAAACCAGCTTATAAATACAAACCCTATAAAATTTAAAACCACTACTTAAGAAAGCAGCTTCTGTGTGGCTGTTTAGCCTCTGTGGATAATGGAAACATGAAGCAAGCCAGGTTACAAGCAATGACTATTGGGGATAATGTGACAAAGAGACTATACTCTTTGTGGAGGCATAATGAGCAACCATGTAAGCCTATTTATTTATTAAAGTTTATCAATGGCTGCTACATGCCTCAGTGGCTCTATTCAACCTCCAGTCAGAGGCATTATGGCTCTAAATACCAGTTCCTGGGGATCTAAGGTGGGCACAGTGCTGTTGTGCTCATGGTCTAGTTTGCAGGCATCCCACAGGCATTTGGTCGGCCCCATTGAGAACATGATTCTGGTCTAGATGGGCCAATGGCCTGATTCAGCAGGTTCATCTTAGGTTCTTATAAAAGCCTAGTTAAAAAAATGAAAGTGTGTCCCAACATTTGTTTCTGGATGAAGGTTAAAAATATTGATTATTTTTTTTAAAAAAGCTAGTCCTTAAAAAAAAACACACTAGTATTTTTTACTGTAAACTATATTCCTAGATTGATCTGAATATGAATCAGAGGAAAGAATGTAAACTATATTAAAAATATGACCCCTAAGGGAAACTTATCAATTCCTGTCTAGTTGCTGCTGCCCGTATTATGAATTCAGGTAAGTATATGGAGGCTTACTGTTTCTAAGAAATTAAGACATTCATGTCATCACTCCCATAAACTTTTTAAAAGCCCTGAACGCTTATTTCTTGACACAAAACCAATAATTTTTATAAAGTAAGTTTTCATAACAGATTTGTCACCACTGTAGGTGCAAACCAGTGCTGCTCATTAAGCAGCTGTAGGGCTACTTCAGTGATCTTTTTTACAGCCTTCTTTACCTGAAGCTCAATAGAGTCATACCTTGGGTTACAGACACTTCAGGCTGTGTTTTCAGGTTGCGCACTGCGCCGAACCGAGAAGTACCAGAACGGGTTACTTCCGGGTTTCGGCGCTTGTGTATGTGAAGCACTAAATCGCGCTTTGCGCATGTGCAGAAGCGCTGAATCGCGACCCGCGCGTGCGCTGCAGGTTGCGAATGTGCCTCCCGCACGAATCACGTTCACAACCCGAGCATCCACCGTAATGTCCCTTATTCATAATTGGAATTGGCAGCAGTACTAAGACTGGTTTACACAATCCCTCATTGTTAGTTGTGCTCAGCCTGAAACAAGCACCGGCTATCTAGTAAGCAGTATGATTATTATGGTTGCTTTTGAGTAAAGCAGAAAATGAATTTCAGTAAAAAAAAAAAAAAAAGGCTGTGGGAAGGGTGTGGTGCCCTGTAAATATTGCTTCTCTTTGGAGTCACCTATCATTTTGGACCCGTGAGCAATGTGCATATTAGAAAAGTTGTGGGGAACACACACACACACACACACACACACACACACACACACACGAGAGAGAGAATGAACAGCCAAACATGCACAGGACCCTATTTTGTTGACTAGAAATGAATGCTTTCTTCAAGTCTTAATTCCAGAAGCAGGAAAGGCTCTTGTAGGCACATGTGCACCTGAGAGTCTCATGTTGATGATCCGGACTGCACATAGTATTGTATTATAAATAATGCATCAAAGGTACAAGTGGTGCTTTTTCACTGCGAAGATCTTCCTTCCAATTACCAAGATACTCAATATTCTTCTTTTAATATTCTTCTAGCTTTGGGCTAAGGAATACCTATTGACTAAAATATTAAGCTTTTGCTGAAAGAAACACCAAGCTTCAATAGTGTATGGAGATGAGTTCTGCAGATATCCACTCCCGATTCCACCACTCAATGATTTCATTTGTAGATTTGAGAACATGCTAACTTCCTTGGGGGGAAAGAGACACTGGCAGTGTTTGAAAATATGTAAGTCAAAATGGTCTGTGGAACAAAATAGAAAATCTTCATCAAGTTTCAGCATAAATGTCTGCAAGTGCTGAAAAGGTTTTTAGTGAATAGAACCTGATTCCAAGAAGGCATGCTTGTTGCAATTGTGGCAGCTGGCATGGGGCCATATACTTGAAGGATCCACCTAGGTTATCCCACCTCCCCTGCCCTGCATTAGTCAGTGTAGGAAAAGAAACAGACAGATAAGAGACCAAGTGCTCCTTGGACATTCTACTGCTTAGCATTGTCAGGTATGTGAATCACACACATGGGACTGATGATGGAGGAGCTGTGATAATTCATGTAGGTTGGAACAATATCACTGCAGATTTCCTTGTGGGGAGTGGGGGCTGGACAGCCATTCTGATCCATTTCCCATATTTCCATTCCCCGTTACTAATTGAGAGGAAAAAGCAGGTAGCAATGAAGCTTATTTCACCAAACACAGAATGATTTAACTAATTACAACTTTTAACTCCTAAAGTTTAGTGACATTAACATGTTTCAGTTCCAGTACAAATTATGTTTTCTTTTTCTTTCTTGGTTTTGACATCAGCTGAAGTGACTTCTTGTAGAACAGAAGTCTGCCATGCAGCACAGTCATCTAATGGTCCAGGCACAGAAGAGGAATTCACATGATGTACTCCAGCTCTACTATTTATGATCACCACTAGGTATGTCACAACCATTTCACCTAGAACCTCTGTAAACCAAACTTAGTCCTAGGTAAGTCCTATGCAATTGAAGAGGATTAACTTCCAAGTAGATATGTAGAGGGTTATACTGTCAAGAGTATTGTAGTCTCTATCTTAAACATATCAGAGCAAGCGCTACTGAATAACTGATACCAACTAATACCGAAATACTTTAGGATATTTGTTTTGTTAAAATATTTTGTCCCAGCCTGGTAAAGCAACAGTCTGAAACCCAGAATTGATCCTGTGATACAGAATATATGTCTCAACTATGTGTGTGAATAACATTTTTAGCAGCCTAGCAGGTGTCACTATAAAATAAGACTTATTTTACTAACTAGACCGAGTCCAATACATGGTTACAGCCACTAAAACATCTGAATTGAAAGAGACAATGACCACTTTGCACAAAATACATTTTATTAAGATCATGTAATAAGAGCAGTAAATTTCATTAAAATAGATGGATAGCAGATTTTATACCTCTCCCCGTACATGTCCGCGTATACTGAGAACTGAGACAACTTAGCCGAAAAGGTTCTAATAGGCTTCATGTATATGACTCACCTCAAAACACACACAGGAAATTATGATTTGGACTGTGTCCTCTATTTTTTTTTTTTTAAAAACCTGCTGGTAGAAGTATGTGTATGCTGTCATCAAGGAGGATTATGATGGGGGTGCTTTCAAACAAATTTCACATGCTTTCTGAGTTGTCACAACCCTATTAGAAGACTTCTCTTCCCCTGAACATTTAACTAGGCCTTCAGAATCAAGAGCAACGTGGAATCTGAAAAAAAATGGTCCAGGCAGTCCATATTTTGAAATTTTGGATTCTTTTTTCAGATTCAAGTGGTTTGAAATAAGTTTCTTTCTTTATAGGATTTTAGAGTGTGCCCTATGTTAGTATGGTTTTCAGACGGTGCTCTAGGGATGGTTGGGTTTATCAAAAGCTTATGCGGAGTTCCTTAAATGACTGGTACGGTTTCAAGGAAGTTAGTTTGCCATAACCAAACCATGAAATGCACAGTTGTGGGGAAGTGTCAGATCTGTTACAACTTCTAAGTTGTAATCTCAGTTCCAACAGGCTGACAGCTATGCCTAATAGGCCTGTAAAATGAGTATGTGGCAAAGACTTTTCCTGAGAATCCTCAGCAATATACACAAATGGAAAGGGGGTTGAAGTTCAAGATTCAAAGTTACAAGAAATACTACTTTAGATACAAAAGGAGAAAACCTCAATTTTCTCTCCCCTACCCAGTTTGTTTGCCACAAACTAAAGACTGGATGAAAGTCTTTTTTCCAGTCAAAATGGAAATTTCTTGTGATTTATCCTGGAGCCGAAGAGAATTTCCTTACAAGCATATATGCAGTATTATGTGGTTATTTATTCAGAAGGACAACATACATAAATAGCAGGGTGACCTCTTAAGAGTGCAGAAGCTCAGGAATATAGTATTGAAATAAACCATACCTTATTTCTAATCAGTTCTGACTAATTAGTATGCAGTATCTGTTTGATTAAAATCTGTTTTAGATAGAAAAACAGCATTCCCTCTAGAAATAAGACAGAGACTGTGGTTCTCTTCCCTGGGGCAATGAATCTATCAGTGTCAAGACAGCAGATGGACTAGTGTGTAACTACAGCTTATTTATGTGTGTGTCTCTTTCGGCTATGAAAGCTTGAGTTCCTTGGGACATTCCTCACACCACTGGGCGAGCTCAGTGCTGAAATCTTGAGATCTTGTGAGTTTTTGATTGTAGGAGTTCAAGCACACCTATAATATACTCTGCAAATGACAATCTTACCTTTCAACATCAGTGATGTTCCGTGGGCTTTCTGTGTTTGCTTCTGTTCAAAGATGCTGACCACTTCTGCTCATTTGGAGCATGTCATGTTGCGTACCAACTTAACTAACCTCCCTGTGCCTTTTTAAAAGATCAAAGTTCTTGTAGTTATGTCCCCCAATTTCCCAAACTATGATTTGTATATAGCAGGCACGTCCAACTTCCAATAGGCTGCGATCTATTAAAAAATGGCAGTGAGCTACCCATTGGATTGACCAGAGTTGCTGAGCTTTTGTTGGGAAAGCATCAAAGTTGTTGCGCTTGGGGGGGGGGCATGATCCCGCGATCAACCAGGGACATACTGCAATCGACCGGTATATGGTACTTTTCCTTTCTACATTTATCCAGCTGAAGTGTGTGTTATGAATGATGTCTGGTATGGTATTAATAGTTGTAACATAGAAGGGCAGAAGTATTTGGGTTTCCTACAATTCATTGCTTACCTGGTCCCTCAAAGGGTAAAAGTTTGGATGGAATAGGATCCTTTGCACTGAGAGGAATCAAATAGAGGTCCTTGACATGTCTGTTGTTATTAGCAACAACACCAAATCGGCCACGACTGCTAAAATAGGAGTACAGAGAAATGTAGGAAGGCACCTCTTCTTCTGTTGCAGGATGGAAGCGGATCAAACATAGTTCCTATAATACAAAAATATAAAGGAAAAATACCAACCTATTGCTAAATAAATAGCAAGTGAGGGCAACATGGCATCAATGCACTTCAGTTTTGAAGTAATAGTTTCAGAATTATTCTTATTCAATTTCTATACCGTCCTTCATCTAAGGATTACAAGGTAGTTTACAAAAATACATACCATAATAACAAACGGAAGCAATAACACCCCCCTCCCACATACAGTTTTAAAAGCCATAAATTGGCCTGGGAAAAGAGGAATGTTTTTGCCTGGCACTTAAAGATATGTAATGAAGGCACCAGGTTAGCCTTCCTGGGGATAGCATTCCACAAACAGGGAGCCACTGCAGAAAGGGCCCGTTCTCGAATGGCCACTATCCGGACCTCTCTTGGAGGAGCACATGAAGAAGGGCCTCAGACACTCATTACAGGGTCTGCAGCAGTAAATATGGAGTTATATTGGTGATCCAAAAGATGGTGCAGCTTTAAAAAATGCCTTATTTCACTGCCATCAAATAAGCAAAGATTATGTAAAATTATCAATATAATTTTACTCTACATTATTTAAGGTTGCTGATTTTTTCGTTATTAAAACACTTTTAGGGTTAGATCTAGTAAGGATTCTTACTATGATGGCTCATAGGAAGTCAGTGATAATTTATGCTGTGCTGGAAATTGAAATGCTACTAACACAGAACCGGTTGGGGCAGGGAAGAAGTGGTGAGAGTATGTGGAAGGGAAGTAACAGCCAGCAGGAAAAGCCATTATTGTATTTTGCTTATCTTAAAGAATTTCAGGTGCAAATTACTGACAAGAATCCAAACTGCTGCTGGGGTGCAGGTGGGTATGGGTAGGAGCAATTTTATCTTTTTATTTTGATGAATAGGCCTGTATGCCATGTTTAAAAAAAGAAGTCTCCTTCACATTTCAAAAGAGACGTGTGAAAAACATTAGGAGTTGCTGCTGTACCATAAATTCAAGCCAGCAGTGTCCTCCTCCCTTAGGTAGAACAACTTAGTTATATAGTTCACTGGATCCCATCCACAATTATTATTTCAAATAAAGTTCAATTCTTTCACCATTACCAAACAGGGTTTTTAAAAAGTACCTTTGACACAGATGATTTCAGTTTGCCAATATAATCCCATACTGTCTTCGGTGAGATCCTCCCTCCAATATGAATTGTATCAGGTAAATCCTAGATAAGAAGCATTACATAATGTGAGAAGAGGGCAGTTTGAGGGCAAAGTATATTGCCCTACACCTTCCAGTAAACAGAATTATACCAACAGAATATAAATAGAAGCTACCATATTTTTCCATCTATAAGACGCCCCCATATATAAGAAGCCCCCTATTTTTGCAGCAACAACCAATCACCAGTCCACCCTTGGCACTATCCGTGTATAAGACGCCCCCTAATTTTTGACTTTTTTTTTTAAAAAAAAGCCTAGTCTTATACATGGAAAAATACGGTATACTGTGATTTTACTGTAGCTATGGCCATTATGTTCACAATTCTGTTTATCCTTCCACTTCGATTTTCAAACTGCTAGCAGAAAACAGTCCCCTTTTAATTCCACAAACCACAGCTCATTCTTATGTTCCTTTCTGAATCTGGTATGAGAGGGAGTACATCTCACCCTTGGGTACCCCTACTATAGTTTCTTATCTGGGAATGAAGAAAAATGTCTGACACTGTAGTAGGATGTTGCTTTTATTTACATGTTCTGTCTACATCAAGGGGGATAGATGCCACAAGATCCTGGGAACTGATGAATGCAGTATTTGTATGGGTCAAACATGACTTTTTGTACAAGGAAAATGAGCTGGAAAGGCTGGCTACTGGTGTGCTAAGAACCTGAGGCTCACTCCCTCTCATATTAGGCTCAGACAGTAACATCTGAGCACTGTGAGAGATAGCTTTTACATAAAGAAGTAATACTTTTGCACATTAAAGCTACAAAAAGTAGCTTTGAAAATTGTGACAAAACATTCCTAGCCTATTTTCATAGAGTAAAAATTTAATTGTCACTAAAACATGCTGTTGAGGCAGAATGTGTTTATATTTATAAAGCTGTCTTATCTATAGTTGAAGGGGCAAACATATTTCTATTTGTTTGCATTAACCACAGTTTGTCTCAGAATTCAGCATATAAACATTGCTACTATATCATATTCATAGCCCACTGAGCCTAAGATCGTAACATACTTGTTTTCCAAACTAGGAGGAAAAAGGGTTATTCTTACATCCGTAAGTTTAGGTGTCTTCCTATCCCTGCTTCAAAACACAGGAAGAAAGATACACTAATTCCACTGACAGAATTTGTTGGTGCACAGGAATCAAAATTCCAAGCACCCTGTTCGTATTGACCATAAAAGGAGCACACGTAGGTTTTTTTTAAAAAGGTTGAATACACTGAAGTATCTTCCTCCTCTAGGGCAGGAAAGATATACAGCTGTTTCAGCTACTGTTCTACTCCCCACCTTCCCACCAGTTCTTACACAAACAATGCAGAGCAATACGTGAAATCTATTTGAATGTATGCAAGAACCAAGGTGGCTTTTTCTCAAATAATGTTATTTATGAACAGTCTACGGTTGTTGGTTTGAAACTTGATAATAAACTACATTGAACTTCCTTCCTATGTTTCTTTTTGGGGTTTAATACAGGAAACTGGGAGCTCACTGAATATTGCAGGCATCCCATGACAGTGGCAATCATCACTTAGTTAACAGTGTCACACTTCCTGGTTACTGTTCACTGTGTGTTCAGTTATTACAGATCACTGCTTCTCACCACCAGACCAAAATGAAAATCAAGAATGTAATTAACAGAAAATGATAAACAGTGCTTTATCAGTTACTGATATGAAGTATTAATACTAAAAATGGAATATCCAGCATGCCATTTCAGTGCTCCTATTTTCCCCTTACAATGGTACCTCCAGTTACGAACTTAATTCATTCCAGAGGTCCATTCGTAACCAGAAACCGCTTGTAACATGAGGCGTGCTTTTGCTAATGGCGCCTCCCGCTGCTGCCGCGCCACCGGAGTGTGACTTCCGCTCATATCCCAGGGAAAAGTTCACAACAAGGGGCATCTATTTCCGGGTTAGCAGAGTGCGTTACCCGAAGCATTCGTAAGGGAGACAGTACGTAACACGAGGTACCATTGTACTTACAGATCACCAATGCTATTTTATTATTTTTTAAATAAATTGCTGTCCGATACAATAGAGGTGGTGACTATTTTAGGTGCATCCAACTGACGTATGATCACCGACACATGGTCTTTTTGGACCCAGAAGAAGACAGAATGGGGACATAATGGAGCAGGGGCTGCTTATCTGTGTTCCGCACACGCAGAGGCTGGGAACAGAAGCCCCGCATGAAATGGTTGCCAAGTCAATGTACACATTATCTATGTCCGATTTCTTATGCTACACTGCTACACTATTTGCAGTCAGGCCACTGTCTGAACAGTGAGTTATTAAAACTCTTACCTAAATGAAGTTTGAAAATGTTAATAGGTCAATAGGTCAATTTGCTTAGCTTTCAAGCTATCATGTTGAGTAAACATGGTAACATATTACATAGCTAACCTCTTACCGCAAAGCAAATTTAGTTAGAAATATGATTTTAGATATAGTTTACACAGAAAGCACAAGCACTTCAAAGTCGCACCTCACTGAGGTAGTCAAAGGATCCAGAGACAGGGTAAGCTTTGGTGACAAACTTGGCCACGCTTTGCATGTTGATAAAGCCTTTCCATATGGTGTTAAGGCGAGAGAGAAAGACGGACGTATCTCCTTCTTGAGGGGACCGTATCTCCGACATACTGCAAAACAGAAAACCCAGGAGGGAGAATTGTGTCAAGAGTGGCTCTACAAATTGTATCTCTACAAATGCCCCTCCATCCCAGGCAACCCCAACATTTTTCAAACTCCACATCAATTGATCCTAAATCTTATGAAATATACTTTTAGTAAATTAAATTAATGGGCTAGAAATCAATTTTTAAGACTTCCAGCACATTCGGTGGAAGGCTAGTGATCACAAAAGACGGACCATTAATTTGCTAACCCATGAATAGAATTCCTGTTATTATTAGGGATTGAGTTGATATTGTAAGACTTGTGACCGATTCTCTTTTGCATGAAAGAGTGGGTCAAGCATGGAGAGACACTGAAGTTCATAAACCTGCCTTGAGTGAAGCAGTGTGTGACTCCACGTTCACCAGTTCTTACAAACACTGGCTCCTCCTGTGCATCAATGCTACTAGAGGTTGAGAAGTGTGCTACATGAGACTTGGCAAATCTTCAAAGTATGCAGTAGTAGTAAAAAATCCTCCTGTTCATGGCTTTGCTGTCCTTTCCTCCTAGTGGCTACTGCGAGATTAGCACAAGTTATCCCTCCTTCACATCTTGAGGAGAGGCAAAGAATGATCCCTCACTGTCACTTAGCATCAGAGTACTTGCATAGCAATGGCAGCAAGGATGTTTGATCTGAGCTTTTCTCCTCCTTGCACACTTGGGGGACAGCAAGGAGCCACCCACTAGGGGGGGGGGGACCTCGCTATGCCCATTAACTTGCCCACTCACCTTGCCCCCATTTTACTCACTCTGGGAAGCTTCCTTCCTTAGAAGGAATTTGAAGGCTCCCCCTGCACCTAGATACACACACACCACTGGGTTGCACGGTCCCCTTTGCACAATACCGCAGGCCTAGTGACCCTCTTGCAGACTGACACACACGCATACCTAACATTTAGTGATGTTTGAGCTGCCAAGTATCTTGGGTCCGATGATGAGGATGGCTTCGTTAATATTGATTTTGGAGCTGCTACAGTATTTCTGGATATTTCCGGTTTACTTTCCCCGACAGAACCTTTGTCAGATGCCAGGGTGGGATGCAATGCAGAAGTCACAGTAGAAGCAGAGGTTGACAAAGTGCTCATGGCTGTTCTGGGATCCTTCCCAGAGACTGTCACAGTGGTGATAACACCGCCAGCATAAGATGTGGGGTAGAGAGAGCTCTCATTGGGTAGAGAAGATAATGGATTGCTTTGTCCTTGTGTTAAAGGAATGTAAGCTTTTTCTATGCTTGGCTGAGGAACTACTTCAGCTACAGATTCAACAGCAGGTTCTGCAGCAGTCTCCATTTCCTCTTCTTTTGCAGCCTCCACTTCATCTGTTGGTGTCGAGCTTTCAAATTTTGACTTCATTTCTGGCTTTGGTTCCACCTTCTTAACAGAGGAAGATTTTAGTTTCTTTGAAGCTGGTTCTTCATCAGATGCTGACATCTGACCTAAATGGTAAAAAAAAAATAACATGTAACATTGTGAATCTGTGTCATTTCATGGACATGGTGCTATATTTCCCTTGGAGACAGGAAATCACGTCTTGCTTGTTGCTGTTTTAATTTATAGAAGCAAAAAGTTTATTTTACTGTAAGAAGAAAGCCTGGCCATTTGTATAACTGAGGCTCCAGCCAGATTTGGGTTTACTCAGAACAAAATTGATATGGTAATTTAAATTTCTGCTTTGCATTTCTACCACGTGGGTGTTCACACAGCCTTGGTAATCCCTGTGCATACCTGTACAGATTTTGCAGTTCAGGTCAAAAAGATGGGCTCGGTGTTGACTTGTTGTGTCCTGTAACATACTGCTGAAAACATCAAGAATTGGAGCACTGCTTTTCTCAGGAGCTGCTCGATCTGCCTCTTGCTGCTCCTAAAAAGGAATTGAGGCAATGGTATGATTTGCTGGTATCAGGCTCATTTCAACTATACACATGCAAATTCCTGTAGATATGCACAAATTTTAAACCAAACATCCACAGCTCCAAAAAAATAAAGCAATTGATACTACTAAAATCTAACATGACCTTTCAACAAGTGCAAGCTTATATGCAGAAAGAGATCCTTATAAGGTTTGCGTAAATTCATTACTGGCACCACAGGTTTCGACAGCACCCAAGTGGGGAAACAGAAAGTGTGCTGGTCCCCTGTTTTGGGCAAATTAATTAATGTACGGGCAACAACCGACTGACATTCACACACGTGTGCATTGTGGTGACCCAGAAGTGGCAGGAAAACGGGGTGGGAACAAGCTTATGTGTGCTCCGCTCTCATGCACAATGACCCAAAACACAGCCATGCACAAATAAGGGGCTGCCTGTTTATCATTGGTCTCTTTGCAATAGGAACCATGCCAAAGCAACATTCCAGGTAATAGGCACTGTACTACAGTGTACAGTGGTGGGCTGGCTATTGGTTTGGTTTGTTCTTGTTTTCATCATGTTCCTTGTGGTTTTATTCTGTATTTTATGACGTGAACCACCCTGAGATTTTTGGATGAAGGGCAGTATACAAATTAATAATAATAATAATAATAATAATAATAATAATAATAATAAACAACAATACTGTGTACATGTACCTCAGAATAAGTATAGAGTACTGCAGGAATTGTGCAGCGTGTGTGTAAGCTGCTATAGAGCATTACTGGATTGTGCCCTCTAAAATAAAAAAAGGCAAGCAAGCAGATAAACTATACTTGAGATCTTAAAACATGACATTTTAAATTATACAATATCTTCATGTAAAGAACTAAATTTTGGTAAATGATCTATATAATTAATTGTAAGCCAGTGCCTTAAGTGGCTTATACTTACATCTGAATCAGACACTGGTGGGGAATCTTCCATATTAGCATCTGGGATGGGTTCTTGTTTTACAGCAGACTTCTTGTTTTCAAAAGATTTACGTCTAGCTGCCATTACCTATGAAAACAATAATGTGATTTGTATACACACACAAAGTCAGTGATCTAGACTTTAATCATTAATCTGTAGTCAATTACCACATCAGCTGGAATTGCTCACCAACCATCCTTACATAATAAACACCTCAAAATTTTATTGCTTACTGCTTTGGCTGGCTTTTCTTTCCATGTAGATAGCTCTTTGGATACGAGTTCTTCTGGCTTCATTCTTACAAGCCTTGACAAAGGAAGGTCTTCCCTAAGAACACGATGGAAAAGTCCCTAGAGAGAGAGGAGTGATTCGAGGTGAGCAGTAACTACTTACACAACTAGCAAATGAGAATCTTCCAATAGGCAAGTAAATGCTGTCATCCAGTTCATGAATTCCTTCTAAAAGGTCTTAAGTGTAAATAGAATGAAATATTTAAAATAACTTTTTTAAAAATATTGCCAGGTTAGCAAAATATTACTCTATAACATAATTTGAAGCATGTCTGTATCAGGAATGGGCACAAACAATAGATGGGATTGAGCGTTCCACAGGCATTTTTCTCCACATGCAGAATTTTATATATCTCTATCATATTCCCTTGCCTCTTTTCTAAACCAAAAAGCCCCAAGCTTTTTAGTTTTAGCCATTCATGCTTCCAAAGCTCCCCACCCCAATAAAATTTACAATCCTTTTGATTGTACAGAAAACTCAAAGCAGTTTACAAAAAGAGCTATAAAACAATAAATGATGCAGTCAAATCAAAGGCTGTCCACTTAAAAAAAAAAAGGCTGTTGAGAAGTCATTCATTCGCTTTCATACAAACCTGATTTTTAGGGTCCTTCAGATTGAACATAATGCTGCGATATTTACTCTTATACCGATTGTCTGTAGCCTGGAATAAATTAAACATCTCCTTTTCAATGTTCAGTGCAATCTTTCCCACCTCACTCTCTGTCATAGCCAGATCATCACTATCATTTACTCTGCCAAAAGAAAGAGTTAGGAAAGAAAGAAAAGGGAGTCAAAAATGACAGTACTGCTAAGTAGTTTGATCTACCTATATGCAGGAAGAATCTTCTATGACTTAAGTCTCAAAAATGGCCTACTTAATTCAAGGATGAATTTTCCTTCTTTGATTCCCACTATCCACTGCTGCAACATCCTCTGAATATCATGTACTCAGGAGGATTGTTCTGCTGCTTAAAGTACTGATGATAGTTTGGGGAAACTGGTGATAAGCACATGCATTTATATTGGACAGTGCTTATCTGTTTTGTGAATACCATGGTTTTTTTAAAAAAGTCTAGTTTTCAAGAAAGTAAGATTGCCTTTGGGGCCTTCTGTTCTTGTTTAAAACCTTTAAGAAATGTTGGCCTTTACTAAGGTATTTCCTTCTCAGTCAAAAAATATTCACAAATTTTTTAGCACTAAACTTATTTCAGATGCATTATCTAAAGTGCTATGAAAGGTGAGAAGAGATGAATATCACTGTTCATGCAGCATTACAACTAATGATTATCCTAAATTATCCAGATTATTTGCACAGAGAAAGTGCACTTAGTGCCTACCTTTTCCACAATATCTCCTTAAGGGATCTCCGTATATTTTGGCGAATTTGAGAGTTAGGCTGTGATTGACTAGCACTTGCAGATTTTGCTTGTGTAGCTGAGGAAGTTGTTGAAGAAGCAGAGGACACCATGGGCTTCCTGAGCCCTCCACCAATGCTTGAAGAGGAAACTGTTTTTTTATAAACTGAGGATGTACCATAGGACAAAGGGGAAGGCCTTGATGATGACACATTGCTTGATGTAGGTGGACCAGTTGAAAGTGAAGACTTCTTAGGTATCACCCCTTTGAAACCTGCAGCAGAGTATTTAATTGGATGCTTAGAACTAGTAAATGTAGAGGGTTTCTTTAAGGGTGGATTTCTGCTTTGGGTAGACACTGCAGAAGTGGGTTGAGACGCTGCAGTAGTTGACACAACCATTTTCTTTGATGCTACCGAAGATTCAGCTGGCTTATCCTCATTCTTACGTTCCTCTTTCTGTGCTGTTAACAGGAACAAAACACAATAAATTATTATTTTTTTCAACAGGTGCTGCAAAGATTCAACAAGAGACATGATCCAGTAAGCCAAACATGTTCGTAATTCTTTTAATGAAAATAAAGAGATTAAAGAAGATCAATTTAGGCTAGATTATGGACAAACAATATTTGTTGTTTAAAACTATCTTATAGAAGTGATAGAAACTTATATTGGTTTTATGAAGGTGCCTTATTTTTGTACAAATTGATTTGACACAATAAACTTGCAAGACACCGGGAGAGATGGGCTGTGCCCATGATGCAAATGAATCATGCCCAATGAATCATACCAAAAGTTTACCAACAGGAAAGGGTACAATCTCTTGAGAGAAAACATATGAAAAAGAAAGCTATTTCAAATACATGTTTTTCACACTTTTAAAACAAAAGTAGATCCATCTTCAAAGATTGCACACATGAGCTAACACATATACAAAACAGCAAGTATAAGGCTCAGGCATACAAGCTGGTTTTTTTTTTAAGGAAAAGAAAGAATATGCACTTTCTAAATCATGCAAACAATTCTAACATTTATTATACTTGTATCAGATATGTTGAATTATCAGTGTGAAGTAATGGCCACAACACATCAAAACAAATACTTAAGCTGAACGTTTCAGAAGAGCACTCGTTAGAATAGCATCTGACTAATAGCATCTGATTTTATTACATCTCTCCCCTAGCATCATTTCACCTGAAACACTTTAGAATTCTGCTTGTAACATCATGCAAATTCTTGCATCGTAACATCAGCTTTCATTCCTACCTGTATATGTGTGGCGGCAATCGACCACAACTTTCCTAGCATTTCAACACATGCTCAGTAAGAAACTTGTAGGATTGTCACATATTATGATATTCACAAGTGTTTTCTGTAAATAAGTGCCTCCCTCGAAAACAAACATTTGCCTTAAAATGAAATTGCAAGGTTCTATTTAAACTATAGAAACTAAGGTATCTAGATATATAGATGCACATGTGAAATAACTCACATTCAAAAGAAAAATAACCTCTATTAACAATGGAATAGATCTGGACAATGGCTGGAATGAGGAACAGTATAACACTCGTTAACAGAAGGAATGTAGTGTGAACTGTTTGTTATTATGCAGTTTTCAGTCATCATTTTTAAAGCAGTATCTTAAAACATAGGCCGTAATTTTGGTAGCTGAAAACCATACTTGCTAAAAATCTCTAAACAGACATCTGAAACCTATTCTCATTAGAGGTATTTAAATATGATCTCTGAAGTAACATTGAATGAGAGATCTGCTCTTCTAGAAATTCATTAGGTATCACTACTCACGTTTAGTGTGTTCTTTCTGTCACGCAGCATATAGCAATGTGCTTTAGTTATTCCAAAATAAACAATCTTTGTGGCTTTTGTTGCAGCTGCCTCTGCAAAGTGCTGCTATCTTGAGCAAATGAGTTCATGTAAACTACTACAGTAGGAGTAAAACTTTGCATTCATTAATGTTTAGCATGCTGGATGGGATCAGAGTCCAACCACATCAGATAATTCAAAATACTCATGGTGAGCTAGTGTTCTGTCCACTTGATCGAGTCGGCGTATCTATATGTATGATAGCATTGTGAATGGCATGGCACTTATTGCCAGATTGAGAAGAGACCTGGAAATGAAGAGCCACTGATGTTTGCATTTGCGATTAGGCTGTTTCATGTGATTTAGTTGAAATAAGTGAATAAATACTCCTGTTGAAGAGAATACTATGCCCTTACTATAAATAGTTCTTTACAGAGGTTCAAGAGCAATAGGAGATAAACACAATAATCTTGATGTTTATACTATAATGTTTATACTTCTGAAAAATTATACCGAACTCGCTTTTCAGAAAGGAATATTTAACCACAGAAATGTTTTGTAATCTAAGATTGTTACCTTGCCTTTCTTTAGCAGTAAAAGCTTTTGTGTATGGACACCAATTGGATACAGCCCATAGTTACACACACAACTATGTGTGTTCCAAGGTCGGCTTGTGGCAGCAGCACAGCACAAACCTTTGACACTGAGTTAGCACTCTGACCATGGCATCCCACACTAAATACCCACATGGCAGAACAGTGGTCCAATAAAACCAGGTTGCTAGAAAGACAAATTCTAATGCCTGTGGTTCCAAGTTAAAAGTCAAATCTTTAGCATTTAAATAATTTTAATTTAGAGTTTCAAAACTTGCAAGTTACGTTTCATATGGAGATAGTAAAAATATGCACTTCATTATACTATAATGTTGACTTTTTACACCTATTGAAGTTTAGTTTCACACAATATTTTTGATTTAGCACACCAATAGATTCAGAAACAGATAACTTGTTCACTCATTGCAATTAGGCTTCTTAAGATTGGAGATACAGTTTCAAAAAAAAAAAAAAGATTGGAGATACAGCATCTGATGTGTTCATCCCAGTAACTCAAGTTTTCCTTTTGGTAAGGTAAAGGTAAAGGTAAAGGTACCTCTGCCCGTACGGGCCAGTCTTGACGGACTCTAGGGTTGTGCGCCCATCTCACTCAAGAGGCCGGGGGGCCAGCGCTGTCCGGAGACACTTCCAGGTCACGTGGCCAGCATGACATCGCTGCTCTGGCAAGCCAGAGCCACACACGGAAACGCCGTTTACCTTCCCGCTAGTAAGCGGTCCCTATTTATCTACTTGCACTCGGAGCTGCTTTCGAACTGCTAGGTTGGCAGGCGCTGGGACCGAGCAACGGGAGCGCACCCCGCCGCGGGGATTCGAACCGCCAACCTTTCGATCGGCAAGCCCTAGGCGCTGAGGCTTTTACCCACAGCGCCACCCGCGTCCCATACTTGTACATAATTTGCTCTTCCCAAATCCCTGTCCCCTCCGTGCTTCAAAGCCAATTGTAGCTGCCCCGTTGGAACTCCTAGTAGTCTCTTTTCCTAATCTACACAAATCACTAAGTATTCACCTTATCCCCAGGGATGGTCCTCCACGAGGATTCCTTTGAGGAATCTGATTACCCTGCTTTTTATCATTACTCGTTTTTGCAATAAATTAGAATCTGGCAATAGCATAGAGGAAACACAGGACTCTATGTACTTGCAAATTCTGGAAAAGCTCAGAATTTAACATTTGGTGTAAACTGCAGCATTCTGAAAAGCCCAGCTCTTTTTATTTTTAAATCAAATTTCTGTACCTTATTGCTGACACACCTTAAATCATGTGGACAATGCACCCTTGACAAAAAATGTTTTGCCTTTTTATAATTGAGTAATACTGGGAGCCACTTTGGACAGTTTACTGTGGGAAAGTGGCATATAAACTAGACACCTCTGATGTCTAGTGTGGGAGAAGTGGGTGTTTGGCATAGGGTCTCACTGAAACATAACTCTGCTCTTACGCTCAAACTGCTTTGAAGAATGGCTGGTGGTTGCTAGCCAGAAGGATGCCTGCATTGCAGGGGGTTGGACTAGATGACCCTTGAGGTCCCTTCCAACTCTGTAGCTCTGTGATGCCAAGTTATAAAACATATACAGAAAATGTTAGATTTACCATATACAGGAAAAATAGATCGCCTTCAGGAAATGCTTTTGAGCTTGCCTTCTTATAAACAAAAGATCCAGAGATGCTCTTTTGTGTAACAAGTGTTCTCTATAGAAGAGAGACAGAGTCTCCCAAGGGCTGCAGTAAGTTCTCTCAGGATTTAAGACTTTATTTTTTTCCCCCTCTTCAAATGGCTATGGTACTTTTTTGCTACTGAAACTTGCATTTAGTTTAAGTTGTTGGTTTTACATCTGAAAAGTTAACAGGATCTAACCTCTTCTTCTTTTTTCCATTTTAGCAGTTGAACACTGACAGCATGAAAAATACTGGCATATCTGCAAAAGCCGCTATGCAAATGATTAGACACAACAGGAGGCATTTGCCGCGCAGTAGCAAGCTTTCTGTTTTCTTCAGCTGTAGCATAAACAAATCTACCAAAGCAATTGGGAGTTGAAGTAACTAAGAACCTAGTTTTTCATCATGGGCTTCTCACTCTTTCATTTTAACCTCCAGGTAACTGACCATGCCAGCTGTGATGGGTGGAAGAGTTGTGAGGAATTTACAGCAGCCACGGAGTGACAACACACTATGGGCTTCCCTGCTTATGCATACAAAGTAAGGTATTAATTCAATTTCTTGCCTGCCCTTCTTCATAAGGTCCCGGGGGTTATTTGGCATTAACAATTCTGAAGCACATGTATTTCATCATAAAAAACCACCCACCCAGCCTGTCAAGATGTGTTGAGAAATTCCTGCAATCTATGAATACAAGGGCCCGTACTAGTTTTACTGTGTTTTTATGTAGTATCAAACCCTTCCCATGAAAGTAACTCAAATGCTACATTTTAAGAATGAGGGCTGAAGTGTGTGGTCTGGAATTGCCTGGTGCAGAATTGCTGAAGGGAAGATGATGCAGGCCTTTTTAGTCTCTTGACCAGGAGACCCCTGAAGGCCCCATATAAGGAAAGGGCAAGAAAAACACTACCGGAGGCAGGGATCCAGCTTTAGGGAGATAAAATCGCCTAAGAACCCAAGAGAAACAGATGAGCCAATACTGAGAAAGGATACCTGATTCGAGAGCAGACTATAGACAGCCAAACATAAAATCCCAACATGTGTACTTGGCCTGATTTTTCTGCCTTCTTTTCTCCTGTTACTGCCCATACTTGTGCATTGCCACAGCAACGTACATATTTTGTGTCTTGGAGGATAATAGCGGGACAGAGAAAAACAAACAAGCTGTATCCTCAGGCACGACACAGGAGAAAAACACTTCAGAACAGATGGGGTCTCAAATTGCCTGCAGGCTTGTTGTGCTCCCATTCTTGAAATGGGGGCTGGGGGCTTTGCAAACAAGTATAATTGCAGAGCTGCAGTCCAGGGCAAGTGCGCAGAGAGAACGGCTGCAACAGATGTCAGCCCTGATCTGTTGTTTGTGGGCAGGAAGCTTTGAGGCCTTGAAGGCGAAGAGGGAAGATCAACAGCGATAGCACAGTAGCTGCATGACAATCGTATTGGTAGCTCCCCAAGTGCCCGACTAAGCAGCTACCTGGAGACATGGCTAGCTGCTACTATAAGGGGGACTCCATCCTGTCCTAGCCAGTGTCCACATCTTTATACCAACTAAACAGCTCCATCCAGACATTTTGGGGCAAAGTAGTTTACAGTGTTTGCCTGCAAATGCTCAAAGGCTGGCGATCACCGTATGCAGAATTAAGGGAATTATATTCACAAATTCCAATAACTGTTACTTGCAGCTGCTTTTGTAAAATCACTTCTACTGACACGTGGTTTTAGTGGTCTTCATAAGTTGAATACTAAGTGGTGACCATTCTTTTGGGCAAGTATGCCACAAATCAAGTCGAAAGTATGAAAAAATATCATTCAGGTGCACATTATACCAAGCAGGGGTCTGCTGTGGAGTTTACTGAACTGAGCAGTAGGAAGAAGTGCAGGACTGACCTTTTCCATAGCCACCAACCCAAATAAAATTTTCTTAGATCGAAATTGTAGCAAATCTTAATACAGGAGGCTATTACACCAGACTAACACAAATCTAGACAATTACTTATATTAACTGTACAATTCACATTCCACTCCACAAGTCTGCACGGATTACTCTAGTCCATAATATGGGACAGAGTGGTCCAACCTCCCAAAGTGTGTGGCAAGAGTACTTTGACACAGAAACCAGAGGCTCCAGAGTGAATCAAATTTTTATATTGTTACTTAAGTATTTGCAATATAGCTAATATTATTTAATATACACCATTAGTATATTTAAGTATAAGCATAATGGGACCTACTCCTGAGCATAGCTGTCAACTTACAGATTTGAAAATAAGGGGCCAGCAGCCTTGAAAATAAGGGATCAGCAGCCAAAATAAGGGATTTTCCCAACACAGGTATGTTCACCTTCTGAGCCCCTCCGAGCCAAAGGCAGAAAGCCCAGCCAGCAGCCAAACGAAGCCTCAAGCAGTGGTTCCCACAGCACAGCAACCCGGCAAAGGGGATGCAACAAGGAAAACCACCATCCCCTCTCTGCTGGGAAGCGCTGAGCAAAGGCGAGTCCCCAGGCAACATGGCCGAATTGAGCGGCACAAGGCATGCAAGCTCCACCCCCCAGTCATTCTTAGACTCCTTATTGGGTGAGCAACGCAGCCAAGCAACACAGTTGGAGCCTCCCTGGCTGGCAGGGAGAGGAGCTGCTTCCTTTGAAACCCGGGAAATTTAAGGGACATCATCAATAAGGGACAGCAGCGGGACACGGTGCTGGGATAAGGGACTTTCCTGCCAAATAAGGGATGGTCGCCAGCTATGCTCCTGAGTTAGTATGCGCTGAATCAGTGTGCTAGGCTGTGATCCGCAAAATAGGATTATAACTCCATGTGTGGTCAAAATGCAGTGCAAGACTTAAGCAAATGCTGTTAAGTTCACTGAGCCTTATATATGTGGAGGTATCCAGTTGTTCATTATCAGTGTGTGGAAAATACCTCTCTCACATTAATACATTATTTTGTTGTTCAGAGCAATCCTGGGCAAGGTTAGAGGATACAGCAGGGGAGGGCTGGCCCGTTTGGCCTTGAAGGGGATGAGAGAGACAAGCGCCTTTGCCGTTTGTTTCTTGTGTGCCTCACAGCAATAAGGGAAAAAAAAGCCAGCTACTTGAGTCACTTTAAGAAGTCCTGAACACTGCCAAAGGCTGTCGAAAATGGCCTTGAGGGCTGCATGCAACCCCCGGGCTGCATGTTGGACCACCCGCATATAGGAAATCAAAATTGTTTGTGCAAGTGTTAAACATCCATCTGAGGGGAAGTGGAGCTAATTGACAAACGGTACGACTTGGGAGTCAGGGAATTCTTGCCAACTTTTCATGGGTCTAGCCTCAGCAACCTACACATGGCCATGATTGCATGAATATAGTCAAAAACTAGGCTCATATTGAGTAGACTTATCTTTATACATGTTATTTGTTGAAAAAAGCACTGATGCAGCTGAAGGTATAGCTTAGGGGGAAGTGACCAAAAACTTTAATTAGCTGATATAAAAGACAGAATTCTATTTCACCTAAAATTGAAATCCATCCCATTCTGGCTGTAAATGTGGTTCTCAAGCAAAGAGAGCCTGCATAAAATCAAAGGGGATAGTTTAAGCTGTCTTGGACACAGCATTCATTTGCAGTGCCATTTAGTGACCTGCATTTGTTCAGATCTGTGTGATGGTATTCCGACATAGCAGAATCCCTCATAAAAACAGCTCACTGTCTAGACCAGGTGTCAGAACCTTTGGCTCTCCAGATGTTGCTGAGCTACAACTCCCATCATCTTTGGCCATTGGCTGTGCTTGCTGCAGTTTATCAGATCTGTAGTTCAGCAACATCTGGAGGGTCAAACATTCCTCACACCTAGTCTAGAACATTTGAGCTGAAACTCCCCCCCCCCCAGAAAGGCAGGAAGTACTTTCCTGTTTTGGTTTTTCTGTTTTGTTCAACTTTCCCCAAAGAAAGGAAATGTATATTACAGCCAGAAAACCACAAACAGCTCAGGAATGTTCAGGAATGTGGTGGTGGTGGTAGGAAATGCATAGAATTTCTAGAGTCAAACAGGAAAGGGAAGTGATTGCATTCTACTCATAGCTATTGCACAAGGCATGCACTCACCACCATCAGTTCTGTAGGCAGTAGCTAGCTTTTGGCTTAATACTGAAGATTGCAGCTGGATGGGAATCTTAAAAGTCGCAGAAGTTTTATACAGCTTATCTAAATATATGGCTTGATTATGCAGTAAAAACAATCTCTTAAAAGTAGTAGCACCTGTTATATACATAAAAGACATAGGTAAGAGAGGTCTGCCTACTTGCTAGAGCATAGGGTATTTATTGGGTTGAAGCTTACAGGAATGCCTATGCACAGGATTAATTATCACTATTTCAATTCAACAAACATTAAGATGCAGAAATCAATAGCACATTAGATTTTAAAAAAACCAATTTAAATATGCCATTTAATATTTTTAAATCAGCTTTGTCATTCTTGTTTTGCTTTTTGAAAAAATCCCTGTATGTTTGGTCCCTTTCTATACTGTGCTGCGGAACTTGTGATCATTCAAATATGGCATTTCCAAACTCCCATCAGCCCCAGCCAGGATCACAAATGGTCAGGGATGGGAGCTGTAATGCAGCATTTAGAAGGCAAGAGGTTCCCCCTTCCCCCCGGTTCTATATGTGTGTCAGTTACATCCTACTAACCTTCTTTCCAGTACCATTATCTTATTTAAATCAGTTTAGACCACACTCCTTTAAGTGCCAATTACACAACACTGGTTTATTTTACACCCTCCCCCCAGGCATGGGGTTTGTCTGCCTGCCAGTACTTTTCAAAAGAAAAACATAGTTGCATATATACTAAAGCAGCATGACCAGATTAGCCCATACTGCAATTTGTTGATATGCACATGCTCACTGGGAAAATGGGACACCCGAGTTATGTTTAGATGTCCTGTAAATTAGGTAAGGCAACAAGAAGGCAGGCAAAGGAGGCTAAGAGAAACCTGTTCAGCCCATTCATTGTAGATTTACTGATGGGATGTGAAGTTTAGACTTGCTCATCAAGTTGCATTTGGGTAGGGAAATCTGCTCCTTCCCAATGAAATTTGGGTTAGCATTAGAATTTGATGTGTGCAACTACAGGTTCCAACTTGCTTCCATCAGTTGCAAGAGGCGTTCAATAGAAAATGACTGCCAATTCCTTACAGTGTGCAGGCAGACCCTAGATGGGGGCATATGCATACAGGTTTAACAAACTCCCCACCTTGCCATAATTGGTACTGCAGTTCTGGTACCCCTATTAGTTGTTTGCAGTTCTCATTTGATGACACCACAAGATGTTGGAAAGTCCAGCCATAAAATTAGTCTACGTTGGTCATTCTGTTGAAAGGAGTAAGCTGCCAGTAGGCTCTCTGCCATCCTTCCTTGGAATCTTGTTTGTTCAGGGCCCAGATTAGGATATTCATGTAATTTGGATTTAGGTGGCAGAGGAGAAAGTAGTTGTAATCAAGTCCTTTAATCCTACAAGCTAACAATTCTACACTAAGCTCATGTTGACGATACCGAGACATTGGGAAGTGATTCAATAGTCCCCAGAGGGGATCTTCTTTCACTTTAGAAGGAGTGATGGAACTAGTCACAAATGAATCTAAAGTCCTATGGTTAGCAACTGAACAGTGTGTTCCATTAATGAATGCAACATTACATGCTCCAATATTGGAAATGCCAGTTGGCTGGTCAGCAATTACCCTCCAATTACCTAAAATATCAAAACAAAACAAAATTCCTTCCAGTAGCACCTTAAAGACCAACTAAGTTAGTTCTTGGTATGAGCTTTCGTGTGCATGCACACTTCTTCATATACTGATGCATGCACACTTCTTCAGATACTTCAGCCTACTGGTATCTGAAGAAGTGTGCATGCACACGAAAGCTCATACCAAGAACTAACTTAGTTGGTCTTTAAGGTGCTACTGGAAGGAATTTTTTTTTGTTTTGACTATGGCAGACCAACACGGCTACCTATCTGTAACTAAAATATCAAAACATCCCTAGCAGTTTCATTGGTAGACTGGCAACTTCCATAAGGGAAAAAGAACACACCACCTTTCCTTAATTGCTGAATAGCACACATTACTATGTTGAGGGTGGCCAAGCACATCATCTGCGTAGGCACATACAGTGGTGCCCCGCAAGACGAACGCCTCGCAAGACGGAAAACCCGCTAGACGAAAGGGTTTTCCGTCACGGAGGCGCTTCGCAAAACGAATTTCCCTATGGGCTTCCTTCGCAAGACGAAAGCCCATAGGGAAATCTCCGGGACAGCGGGGAAGCGCAGCGCCTCTTCCCCACTGTCCTCGGACCTCCTCCCGCCGCCAGGCTTCGGAAGGCTGCTCCGAAGCCTGGCGGGGGGGCGGAGAGGTTTTTTAAAACCCCGGGACAGCGGGGGACTTCTCCGCTGTCCGGGGCGATTTTAAAATGCTGCTGGGCGGCAGCGCTGACGCCCGACAGCATTTAAAAAATCCCGGGACAGAGGGTTTAAAATCGCCCCGGGCGGCGCATTTCTCCGCTGTGCTGGAGGGCTTTTGAAGGCAGGCGGGGGGAGCAAAGACTTTCGCCCCCCGCCCGCCTTCAGAAGAGGTCCTGGACCTCTTCTGAAGGCTGGCAGGGGGCAAAAGTCTTTGTCCCCCCTGCCTGCCTTCCCAGGGGCTTTTAAATCGCCCCGGGACAGCGGAGAAGTCCTCCGCTGTCCCGGGGTTTTTTAAAATGCTGGGGGTGGGAAGAAAAGCCCTTCGTCCCCCCCCCAGCCTTCAGAAGAGGTCGGGGGACAGACTGTCCCCGGACCTGGTCTGAAGTCGGTTTCCCTAGGAATGCATTAATTGATTTTCAATGCATTCCTATGGGAAACCGTGCTTCGCAAGACGAAAAACTCGCAAGAAGAAAAAACTTGCGGAACGAATTAATTTCGTCTTGCGAGGCACCACTGTAATGTTTAAGCCATTGTTTGCAAGCCCATATACAGTCAGGTTCCGTATACCATCATCACAAAGCATATGTAACTTTCGTAAGTGAATACCACAAAAATATGAGCCAGTAAACAGAGATTTTAAAACATTATATGGAAGGCTGACCGGGGGGGGGGGGCAGAAAGATTATATAATTTAAATCTTCCTCATGTCTAGAACTTGGCATACCTATTCATCATATATGGCTTCTTCAAAAAGTATTCACTTTAGATATGATAGTAACAATCAGATTAAATGTGGTTTCCAGGCTTACCCAGTGACACTAATTCACGGCAAGGATGAAAATCACAAAATCACACCCAGTGTATTTTTCAGATTTCTAGAAATTTCAGCTTCATCAAGTTTCTAGTCCTCATGAAAAGAAGTGTCTGTTGTGGTATGTATATGGAGCTGCTTCGCATAGATCACCTCAGAGCTCACCTACCAGTCCACACATGACTCCCCATCTTGTCTTCTACTGCACGATTCTCTAATGATTTCAGAAAAGCTAACTTTTCAGAAGTAGTTTTGAGTGAACTACCACTGTTGCAGATTCAGTTCAAAGAGCGCCTACATTTGACTTAGAAATTTGACTTTGCTTACAAAAAAATAACCAAATCTTTGAAATGGCTAACTTAATAATCTGCATTAGGCGAAACCAGGAGCACTTTATTAAAAAACAAAACAAAAAAACCTCATCTAAAACAAAGGCATGAATCTAATTTTCTCCTTGTGGAATGGCAGTCATGTTCTTGCCAAATTGTGGGAGCTTATGTGCGCTAAGAATGCCCTACCTGAAATACCAATTTGAAACCATTTCAGCAAAACACAGGCAGTTAGTAGATCTGTTGAGATGATTATGCATCACAACACGTGCACATGACTGCTTTTCAAACATTGCTGCCCATATTATTTGGATACCATGCAACAATGCAAAATTTCAGTAATAAAGCTAGGGCCAAAATGCTTTGGTAACCACTGCACCGGTAGCCTGTTATTACACTGCTGCCTCGGTAACTGGTTGAAATAGGGCAAATCAACCCCATGATCCAGTTGTACTCTTAGTATCACATGAAATGTAAACTGCAGTAACAGGGCTCAGGTGGCATCTTCTGTCAAGAAGCAAGATTTAGTATCATAAGTGAGATAGTTGGTAAGCATCGTGAGGATTGTCAATGCGAGCTCCGCTTAGGTTGATTTGAGAATTTAGTATATGGATTTTGTTTTGAGAATTTAGTACATGGATTTTAGCTACAGCTAGTTTTGTTTGCTGTAGCTAAAATGTACAAAAATCCTAAATGCATTTCATTGCAGATTTCTGAGAAAGCAGTTTCTGCCAAGTCTCCGTGTGACACAATTTGCAATAATCTAATGTTTCCCAGCGAGTGGCTTAAGAGAATCTTGTGTGCTGTTCTCGGGTTGCCGATTTGTGCAAGGCTAAAAGTAGATGGGAACCTCTGCAGGCCTTATTGTTCTCAAGAAACCAGATGGTCAGAATGGGGAGAAGTTTGCTCTCATTCCAACTCCCCTAAAAGCCAAGATGGCTTTTTACTGAATTTACTATGTTTCCCCTTTGCTGAACAGGGAAACTGAAATAGAATCCTAAGCTAGTAATTCACTAGTAGTGTGTGGAAGATCTTAGTAACTGCATACAGAAACTGTCTTATCAGTGGGCCAAACTTAAGGTAATTTTCATATGCTGCTAATCACATATGCCTCATCAATTCTAGTATTCATTGGATTTTCCTAACTTTTTATTATGCACTGAAAATATTTATATGCAGCCCTATTACAGAATTGTGCTATGGAGTGTGTAATGTTCTCTTTAACAGAGAACATCCAGTCCATTTAAGACAATGGAAGTGGAATGTTCTTGTAAGAATGAACAATCCCCAGGTAAATAAAAAAGTACCTAAGCCCCCATTCACAGTGCAAAAGATGGGTGTGAAGGCTTGAAGGAGGGGTATTTTAAACCCTCAAAAAGCAAAACCCATTCCAAGCACTTCCATAATGTTGAATAGTATAAATGGCAAAGATCAGCAGGTGCTGCAGCCATTCCACAATATTACTTACCACAAACTGTAACTCAAGTGTTGCCTCCACATGTTCACTGTTGGGAGATGAATGCAACACTTCAGAGCATCAGCAGCATGTAGAGCCATGCTTGAAAGACACTCAAGCACCCTAATGTAGCCCTGAATCTTTGGATCCTAGACGTGTCACCAGAATCTGCCTCAAATCCTCCTGTCTGCGGTTGGAGGAAGATACTTCCTGTTATGCTTTTAAATCTGTATTATATATCAATTATTTTTTGTTCCTGGTTCTCCTTCTGGACCCACTAAGCACCTTCTAAAGTGCATCTACCCCCCCCCCTCAAAACGTGCTGCATTGACCACCCCTCTCGAGAGTCATCAAATCAGGCTTGAAAGCAAGGCTTGCTTTAAACCCAGATTCTGGACTCGCAAGTGTTAGGACAGGCTGTTCATCTGTGTCAGGATTTCTTCGTAATAGTGAGGCAAGTCTATGAGCATTTGCCCAATTCAAGTCACCCAGGACCGCTTGTTGGTTCAAACTATTTTCAGTTGTACTACTCCCCACTTGGAACAAATGTAAACTGCAACTGTTTGCTGCTGCCTACAATCAGGTTTCGAACTCGTATAACTTGATTAAGGCAGCTTCTCTGCATTTTAACCATGATCATATTCTAGATATGGGTGAATTAGTTTTTCTCCAGCCTTACAAAAGGGGAACTGAAGGAAAATTAATGCTGTCTATACGCAGTGCTGTACAGAAAATAAATATAAGGCATTGCTTCATGAGTGTTTGATATAGCCTTTTAGAAATGATTAGTGATGAACCTGTTTTCAACTTGGCTGGGTAATTGTGACATGCTGTGTGATGAACTTTAACCAGCCTTATCAGGAGTGGTCTACTATAGGCAGGGAAGGATAGCCGCTTTTCAGGACGGTTTTCTTCCTCTGAATCATCCAAGATGGCACCAATTGCAAATGGGACATTGAATTGGCAAGCCCTGGTGCTCAAGCTCTATGGAAACTTATCCTGGCAAGGTCTAGCATGCCTTCCTTGGACATCTAGAATCTCATCAGTTGGCCTGTGGGACAAGAAAAATCTTCACACTCTCCCAAACCCAACCCAGGTAAGTGCATGTTTCTGCAGCTTATACACCTCCCCTGCAATATGTGGTGCAGCCCACCGCTTAAGTCTTCTTGCACAGATCTTGAAGATGTAGCTCCATGGAGGGCATCTTCAGCTCCCATTCACTGCTTTCAGGCACAGTCAGAAGCCACACAGCAGTCCAGATCTGCTCCTTTGTCTGTAATACTGGAAGTATAAGACATCAGCACGGAGAACCCCTTTTATTTGGAGGGGAGGAGGAAGAGTTCCAATTAGTCACTCAGCCAGTTTAAGGTAATGATGATAAAAAACTCAAAACATATATAGTAGGAAGGAACCTTACATTCCCTTTATATTTGATTAGCGAAGAAAGAGTTGACGAGGTAGACACATGACAGCCCCAAATGACTGAATTACACCTGCTACCTGAGCTGGGTCACTGCTCTCACACAAGAGATTTTCTTCAGGTAAGAACTTGCCCCTGATTCTGCACACTACCTTACTTCTATATAATCATCTTTTTAATTCCAGGCTAGTATTTAGTTTCCTACACCTACCCAGCATGGAACATCTTGCAAATGCTCTAGGGCACAAAATATGACTTGCTCTGATCAGAACAAATGCTCAAGTGATTAGAACACTCTTATATTTAAGCACTTGTCTGGCTGCCCCTGGTGATAAGGAATACCACATAGGCAAGGGCACAAAATTCCCTCCAGACCAATTTGTTGCAATTTTACTAGCTTCTACCCTGGCTGTGGGAAAAGGAAAGCCCCTTCCTCCTTTGCCAGCACAGAAGTGCAGCAGAATACCTAGAGAGTAGACTTTTATATTGCTTGCACAGGAGGCACAGTCCTTTCTTGTACACCTAGCATATAAATCAACCGGGCTGTCAGTGTTGGAAGGCTGTCAACAAACATCTCCTCTGTCAGCCTCCTACATTTTTACTAGCCTTTTTACTCATAAAAGGAAACCCTCACATGAGTAAATGTTTTTTTGCAGTTCAGTCACTAATTAACAAGGCTGGATTAATAGAGTACTCATAGTCTTTCTAGTCCCATAAATACTACTCTCTGGTTTTCAGCAATTCTCATCTGAAAAAGCTCTACAATTAGAAAACATTGAACTTCAAGGTGTTCTGATTTTGAAGAAAAATTAGTGATATGCTTCCTCTACTGTTTAGAATATCCTGGCTGCATCTTGAGATGTTGCCAGCCCCTTTCTCTTCTCACCAGACTGCTAATTACTTCCTTCAATTTAAGCACTTTTAATGGATTACTACTACCCGAGAAATGGAGTTTACAACAGCACTCTGACACTACGCTTGACCTCAGTGCAGATCAATGTGATGTTAAAGCATTCTAGCACTTTAAAACCAACTTTAATGAAAAGGAAGGGCGGAGGGGAGTATTTAAGACTAGTCCTGACTTATTAGAAAAAGCAGCTTAAAGCAGGACCAATTATATACTGATTTAACCATTTCATTGCTAGAACTTTTTTGAATTCCTTTTTGCTTATGGACCCAGCCACCCAGAGTGGCAGGTGCAACCCAATCAGATAGGTGGTGTGTTAGTAAGATGTTATTTTTATAAGGGCTTGTCATATATACTTCCCCTAATTTCATTATTGCTTTTTCTTTCACAGCTTTCCACTGTCAAAACATTTTCAACTCCCAGTGACTCATTAATATTCTAGTTTTTACATAGAGAAATAAAAGCTACAATGAAATTGTGTTTTGAAGTCAGAAGTACATTAAAGCTTTCATTGTGGCCAGTAAATCTATCAATTTTGTTTTTCTCAACTGCAAAGGAAAAGCAGATGGTGTGTTGAAATGAGATGTTAGTTTTAAATCCTATCATCAATGTTCTGATTCTAGACAGTCAGAATCAACTAAGAACAACAAAAATTAAGAAACTTTATCGCTTTCCTGCCCAGTAGGTGGCAGAAGGTTCATCCACCGGATTTCTGGATTGGTTTTGTAATAAGTTTCTTACCAGCACTTGAAATACTGTGTCCCATTATTTGGATTTTAATTCCACATTCATTGTTTGTGACTACATTTGTCCTGCAGCCAACTCAAGACTGCATGACAATGTATAACACCATCATACTTTCAGAATGACAGAGTAAGTGAATTCCCTACTGATCTGCATTAAAATGCTGCATCAAAAATGCTATCGCAATAGACACATATACATAATTGTGGCAATACAGGTTTTGTATGATAGCTGTGTTTTTAATGTTGAAGTTGTGTACTGAACAGCATGTTTAAGTAATCTGAAATTCTCCTTGCCATCCTACTCTCATAAAGCAGGGTATGATTGTATATTGTTTGCTGTTAAGAAACAAATAAATTCAAACATAGTCAAATAGCTGAACTTTTTGAATTTAATGTGGGGAACTCAGGTTCAAAACCTTGTTCAATTAGAACATTCACCGGGAAGTCACTATCTCTCAGCCTGACTTGCCTTACAAAGCTGTTGTCAGGGTAAAATGGGATAACCCACAATAAATCGCTCTAATAAGACTGAAAGAAAACCCCACTCTTTTTCTGAGTAACAGAAATTTTGCCTCCAGTGGCTGAGTACCTGTAAACAGTGACAAAGGTGTGACAGGAATGTTAGGGTACAGAACACGGCTTCCCTTCCTCGGTACTTGAACAGTTTCATTGAATCATTGATAGTGACTCAATAGCCATGGACAAGAAGTCCAAATTGAGAACTTGATCTGCTAATTCCCAACCCTCTCCCTACGAGCATATTTTTAAAATTTTTTTTAATGTAATCATGGATAAGGGACATTTGATGTTATAGTAAGATACCTGTCACAGTAATAGGATATATAACGCTGAAGCTACTTCTTCCCCTCCCCACAGTACACTATCAGCCTACAAGGTATACTAGAGCAACAGGGAATCCTTTTCCTCCCTACAGTGTTATTGTTTTGCCCAGAGCAATATGCATGGTGTCTCCTTTATTCTTTGCATCTGAAGTTCCTCAGAACAGCAGTATCATGTGTTCGCTTAATGTGTAGTAGGATCCCACTAGGTGCTGGGTGAAGTATTGAGCAGAACTCTGAAAAGGACCTTACTGTACAAAATTACTCTAGAGCAGCATTTCCCCAAATCCCCCACACACAGACACAAACCAAACTGAGGGTCTTGGAGGACTACTTAATGATTTCTCTGTTTGTTGTAGTGACTGTGATGCACTGTGCTAGACTGTATTGTTGGAGACATGTCATGGACCACTTGAATGAAGCCTGCAGACCAGTTTGGGAACCTCTGCTCTAAAGTAACTCTAGAGTAACTTATAGCTATTATGAAAGGAAACTAGTGCAGTTATCTAAGAAGTTCCCTTTACTAACATCTAATTTAAGAGTGTGATGATGTTTTTAAGGTCATTTTTCAGGAAAATGAACACTCACGACCAGGCACTACAGTGCAGCGAGCATCCAATCAGCATGGGGTCATAAGTACTTTAGATATTTCTGAGGAGTGCAAAGACATGCAAGAGTAGATGGAGCATAGTAGGGTGCCATGTCTCTAATGCTGTAGAGCTTATTGCTGTCTACCATAATAGTGCGTTTTTCAGAGATCAGAAAGTAAATGAATGAAGTTTCATGTAATGTATGTGAGATCCAGATCTACTCCATCAGGTGATGATCAATAAGACTTCTGTACATGCCCAACCCCACATAGTGCCAGGACTAATCAGTCTACAGATACAAATCTTGTATAACACTGCCTCCCAAGAAAGGGGGAGAAGTAACCACTCCTGGATAACCTCCACCACTGAAGGAGAAAGGAGTCGTTTCAATGAATGAATTTATATTTGGTAGTTTAGCAGTGATACAAATAACTTGAAGACATTCATAGAACTTACCTTGAAGTGGGAGCAGCTTCTAGAGATGGTGAAAGCTCTTCACTAAATGCAAACTAAATGAATATGTCCATTTTCAAGCATAACAGCAACGACAAAAAGATAGTTCCAACTCTAAATTTCCCCGCTAGTTATGGGATTTCACAAAAATGCTCACATTTTGATAATGTACCAGTTAATGTACAATTGATATAGACATTGCTGAGATTAGGCTTCTCAATAGCCACTTGCCTGGCAAAGTAGCCTTGAAGTGACTAGGTAAGGAAGCTTTAGTAAGCTGGAAGATAACTGGCTCTTTCAGACTGTTGTGCCAGAAGTGACCCATAGGGCTATGTGCAGGCAGGTGGACTAGCAAGCTTCGTAGATTTCGTTGAAAGGCTGGGCTGGGTTAATGAAAGTGACAAGGAGAAACAAACCCACGGGAGGTTTTAAATAAAGGTGTCTGAATCCTACATGCCTTAGATACCAAGTCCTCCTGCTCTTGGCTGCCACTGACAAGCAAAAGGCATTACTTTGTTGGTCAAACCCCCCAAAATGAAAGCAGGCCGAAATGAAAGGTGGCTTCTCCTCAAGCCCTGGAACTCCATTCTTTCAGGGTTTCACCAAAGCCATCTTCCAGTGGAAATCAAGCAAACATTTAGAGACTGTTATTTTAGTAGCAGACCTAAGAGTTTTGTCTTTTTCTACTGTTACTGATGCAGAGCCTTATATCGGGGATTACAAATATGTCTGACACATTTGAGCATTAAGTCCTTTACCTTTTGCCATGCAATAAAAAACCCCCTGCAACACTGTTTAAATGAAGGAAGTAAAACAGGCCTAAGAGAACAATCATTTTTACATTGCAAAGCGCCAACTTACTTACCTTTATAAGCTAAACGTTGCCAAAAATGTTCTTCAAATACTTTAAAGTTGTGACATTCAAGGTGAGAACTCTCTTCCTATTGTTCTACCTTGACGAATGCCTCTGACACATACCTTTCATAGATAAAAATCCCTATGGTTTAAGATGGGCCTTGACATGATTTCATGTAAGTCACATTCTTGGAAGGAGGATCAGCCCCTCCCAAAACTCCCCAAAATTAATACCTAAAAGTTGTGTGGTTGTGTGTGCATGTAAATTATCCATTTGGATCATTCAGAAACCTTGTAGACCTGACATTCCTAAGTCATAATGCAAAGGCAGATAGGGACTTAAATGAAAGTGAACGAAACCAGTTACTCTGTACATTATATAAACTTAGGAAACAAATAAATGTTCATCATTACCTACCTTCTATTAGAACATACCTATCATCTATGAAAAATAATAGGTTTGTTAACCTGCAAGTATACGCTTAAGTGCCATTTTATACAACCTGAGAGAAAACCCCAAGTTGTCGTTTCTATATATGAGCCTTGAAACTCTCCCTGAGAGGTATGTGTGCAAATCTTTGAAGATGGGGAAAGACCGTAATTAAAGCCCCTTTCTAATTTAACAGGGTCAAAAGTTGAAAGGTACTCAAGGAAAGTGTAATGATTGCAGAGGTATATCCCTGTGAAATACATACATTTGAACAACAGTGATGATGAAATGGCAGGAGTCTTTTCTGGCTTTACTGCATTATAATTATGATCGCTTGCCCAGGATGGTGTGCTGCTTTCTGAAGCTGGCTCTTTAGCAACTGTCTGAGTATTTGCTTCGGTCTTTACGGGTGCTGCCACGGTTTTCTTCATGATAATCTCTCTTTTTTCAGGAGCTGGTCTCTTCTGTGCGGAGAGAGGTTTGATACCGGCCTGTGTAACCAGCAGAACCTTAATCACTAAGTATTGCAATAATACAGTCATCATAACACAGGAGTAGAGGTCAGTTCATTATGTATTAAAGAACTTGCAAACATCTCATACAACAAAATTCCATATTATATTTCTCTGCATGCCACCTCCAGAAACTATAACCCTGGCTTGGAATCAATAGTATGCACAATACACAACTATAGCAAAGTGAATGCACATCATAATGGGTGGTTGAGCACCTGTTTGTAGCTGATGTTCCACCAACCCATGGATTAACATGGGTGCAAAGGATCTGAAGCAAAGAACAACCTGCGCCTAACCGTGGTTCTAATTTGTTTGGGGTGCCTCCATGAGTACAGGAAGTTCCCCACTTCAGCGGTTTCCCTTCCCTGAACTGGTGGGTGACAGCAGGGGACAGGGAAGAGATTGAGTTTAGTGCACTCATGATCAAGTGACTGCACAGGGCAAATGTTTTCAAAATCATTCTCTATTCTGCAATAAATTGTTATGCTATTGCTAGGACCATTAAAAATGTAGATCTTTGCTCTCCATGAGTTGGTGAGCAACAGTGAGGCACAGCTTAGTGTGTTGATCCCTGTTCTCATGTATGCTTTTATAAGCTAGAACCTCTGTATGAGGCCATTATGAGAACTGCATCAGCTTAATGAGATCAAATGGGGCACTAATCTGCAATTCTGAACCTGTGTGTGCCAGCGACATATCAAATGTCTTTTTCAAGGAGTGTTAAGAGTTTTGCTTTTTTTTGATACCCTCTGGTCTTAATGTGGCTAACAATCTAAGTTGTAGATTGCTTTGTAACTAGTGCTATAAAACAGCATATTCTTAGGGGAGACAGCAGTTCTTTTAATGATTCTGTAAAGGAAAGCAGACATATATATGATAATGCTGCTCTCACAGGAACGGTGGTGGTGGGATTTAGGATGGAAAATGTGATCCCCCCCCTTACAACACCAGAAGTTGTGATCATTCAAATTAGCTAAATGGATAGAAGATTCAGGACACACAAAAGGAAATACTTCTTCACACAGTATAAAATCATCGAAGTCTGATAATAACCAACATAGACTGCTTTAAATGGGAATTAGTTAAATTTCTTGAGTATAAGGCTATCAATGGTTATATACTACAGGAAGAAAATTAATTACCATACTAAGGTAAACAACAGTGGAAATGCCCTGCTTGTGCATTTCTCATAAGCCACAGAGGGAACAGGATGGTGGACTAGATAGGCATTTGTTCTGATCCAGCAAAGATATTATGTTCTTAGTTAGATAGAATGATGAGATCTCATCAAGGGAGCACTCAAAATAACTTGATGAAAAATCTGGATCTTTTACCATGCAAATGATTTTTTTTCTATTTTACAAAATGTCTGTTCCTCCAAGATCTCCCTCTGTGTGTGGTGTGGGAAGGGCTATTTACTTCAAAAACAATTCAGACTTACCATAGGCTGAGGTTTTACGGCAACAGCTCGTTCAACTTTTGGTTTGGTCTTCTCTTTTGGCTTTTGCTCTTTGCCTTCACTTAGAAACTTCATGGTGGCTGCAGCATGTTTGAGAATGCATTCATGACCACAGTACACAGAACCTGACTGAGCAACTTTAGAACACCCTGGGCCAATGCAACTGGCTGCTTCAGGCTCTTCAACTACCTGAAGAACAGCACAAGAAATTAAAAAAGAAAAATGTTTAACCTCTTTATCACTGGCAAGATTTTGACACAACAATGCTAAAAACAGAGCTGTCTTACATGCACTTTGACAAAGCTCAGATATATTTTAAAGACTTGCTTTTCTTAATGGTGGTTTGCTCTTCTATTTTTCATCTGTTTCTATCTTTTTTATATGTGTTCATGTGCTAAAGCCTGTCTGCATTTTGCAATCTATAGGTGTTTTTCTTACTCAAAGTTTCTGCATGTATGTTTGGATGTACATTCTAAAAAGATTTGTAGAACTTGGGTTTTTGTTTTTTTAGAAATAGTCAAGTCTACTTAGTCTACTTGACTAAGAAGGGTAACGTTAAGTTCTGACACAGTGACAACCTCTACGAGCAAGGCCAGTGGGGATGCGGAATCTACTTTTTGCCTTCTGGGAGGATTCCTCCCACGTAAAGGTGAGCTGTTATCTAGACTAATCAGTGTGAATTCATAAGTGAATGAAAGGAGTTCACAGAAAGAATGCTTTCCACCCTTTCTCTCCCCCCACCAAGGCTCCCTGGAAGACTGGGGCCCTCGCCTGAACAACCTCGGAATGAGTGTAGGGAAAGTAAAGAGATAATCTGAAATGCAGACATCTCATTTGATTTGGGACATTTCTCCTTCCCTTTGCATCCCCCTGTACTCCATTCCTCACTTTCTAAATACTCTTTGGTTGGTCTCCCATCTCTCAACTCTGTTCTGTTTCCTCCACCCCAATTTCTGGTATGTTCCACACTTTGATAATCTATTCCAGAATAGGTATGTCTTGAATTATGCTTTTACTAGAAACTAGGGATTAGCAAATTCCATATTAGTTCATGGTAAGTTCTACTCATGGAGTTATATAGATCACGTATAGTATAAGATTAAGTGAAATTTGCATAATTTGTCTACTATAATAATTTGCCTCCAGAATCTGGTGCTATCATCTGGTTTATCATCAAATGTGTGGAGGAAGGATCTGCTTTAATAATTCATCTCCCAACAGTTATGCTGATTATTTTTATAAATCTTACTTATTTTATAAAGTGAAAGTAGATTTGGGCCTTTTCAGGCAAGACCAATAGCAAAAGTATTTAGATTATGGCACATTGCAATAAAAATGCCAGAACTCTCTAGTAACATCTAATCAACTCTACAACAAAATTAACAACAGAAATTGAAATCATGTACAGTGGTACCTTAGGTTATATTACCGTCGAGTGATGTAATTTCGAGTTACAAACGTGGCAAACCCGGAAGTGTATACTTCCAGGTTTCGCCGCACAGAAGCGCTCTACTGCGCCGTGTGCATGCGCATAAGCGGCACCACCAGATATGGACTTTTCGGGGTGAGTACGGACCCCCTGGATGAATTAAGTTCATATCCGGAGGGTCCACTGTATAGCCTTGATAGGCATGGAGCTTGATCCTCCAAATGTTCTTGGACTCCAACTTCCATCAAACCTAGCCAAAATAGCCAATAGTTAGGGATGATGGGAATTGCAGACTAACATTTGCAGGGTCAAAGACTTCCTATTCCTGATATACAGAAACCTAGGAAGCAATTAGCAACTTCTGAGATTCAGAAATGAGCAGAGGCTTTCATAATAATCTGTTCCCTATTTTTAAAATAACTGAAGCACAAGACAAAAAGAAATTATGGTTATGGATAGCTCTTCCATATCTTAAACTGATATTCATGCAGCAGGGTGTGCGTGCTATGACTATTCCATACAAATATGTTGTTCCCTCACCCCACCTTTTCCTTCTTTGTATATAGGATAAATAGGACAATTGTGGAAGGAGATACTTAGGGGATAGGAAATAGAGAGAAAAGAGAAAGCATTTTGTTAATGTAATGTCTAAGAAACTTGGTAACATTTAAACAAACAAACATCAAATTATAGCCCTATAGCAAGGGAGAACTAAGACAGAATGACAGAACAGCATGCGAATGCAACCAAGGTAGCGAAGAATGAGCAATACTTCCCCTATTTCCTCTTCTAAAATATATTAGTATTCTGATTCACTAAGTATAATGAATTACCTATATCTAAGTAGTGTATTTGCTTAATACTATAACTAACATACAAAAAATACAAAATTTAATTATACCTAGGGGTGACTTTTTCTTTCACTTCAGTTCTGAACCAGAACAGTTGCACTAGAAACACACTTAGCCTCATGTCACTACAAATTAAATACTCACTGGTTGAAATATTTTGAGCTTTTTCTTTCCACTGGGATTTGCAGCCTTTTCAATCCGTCCCTTGATTCCTTGGTCTTCAATGGACTTTTGCTCAACAGTTCCTATGCTTGTAAGCTCTGTGCCATCACCTGTTACCTGTCCCAACATGGTTTGTTGTTGATCTGCATCCATAACTGTCTCATCATGCACCTGCAGAATGGTGCAATTTGGGCAGATATAGTCCTCCCCATTCCTTTCCAAGAGTCGCCCACGAGCCTCTGAAATCCCTACGCAGTTTCCATGAAACCATTCCTCACATCTATCACAACAAATCATAAACCTAAAAAAGGAAAGTGTTGGCAAAAATATATCATTAATGTGAAATACTTCAGTTTTACAAAATCTGTCTGATTACAATCAAATACAGCCAATAAAATTTGTTATATCACCACCACAACAGTAAATAAAAAAGATCCCACATCTATATGAAATCAGACAAAAGCTTACTTCGTTATCCCATTTAGCTCTTTACATAATTACATAATTAAACGCCCAAATGTCTCAGTAAATGCTGCAATTTAACACTGCCTTCACCCCTACATGACTCCCACTGCTTTGCTAAACCCATATCCAATTGTCTTTCTTTGTCACCTTTGCATTCCTACAGACTACTCAGGAACAACAGTGGCTTCAAGTTACAAGAAAAGAGATTCTGACTAAACTTATGGAAAAGCTTTCTGATGTTAAGAGCTGTTCAACGGTGGAACAGACTCCCTCGGGAGGTTGTGGACTCTCCTTCCTTGGAGGTTTTTAAGCAGAGGTTGGATGGCTATCTGTAATGGTTGCTTTATCTGAGATTCCTGCATTGAAGGGGGTTGGACCACATGACTCTCCGGGTCCCTTCCAACTCTACGATTCCATGATCCTATAACAAGCCTTCCCAAAACTGCATTTCCCCTTCCTGAAAATTCAGAGTACTACTTCCCTCTTGACTGATTAGACCATATGAACGCTTCCACCCTAAATTAGAACTTCTGTACCTCAGACTACTGGAACTGAACAATAGTGGTAGATGTATGTGAAGGGCCATGTGGTAGCACAGCAGATGTATTTTAAATTGTGCATTCATAGCAACACAAAATTAAATTGTTGTTTGAAAGTTCCATATACATGCTCTCTCAACTGCATTCAACAACTATCCCTCTATTACTCAAAACTTTCAAACCTCTATATAAAGTTCTTGTACATAATAGACTCTCTTAAGAGCAGAAATTTCAAAACTGTCTCATGTTTAAAGATTTTATCCGACTACTATACAGTGGTACCTCGGGTTACAAACACTTCGGGTTACAAACTCTGCTAACCCAGAAGTAGTACCTCAGGTTAAGAACCTTACCTCAGGATGAGAACAGAAATCACGTGCCGGCGGCACGACAGGCCCCATTAGCTATAGTGCTACCTCAGGTTAAGAACGGTTTCCGGTTAAGAATGGACCTCCAGAATGAATTAAGTTCATAACCAGAGGTACCACTGTAGCTATTTTAGAAACTATTTGGTGGCGGGGTGCAGGGGAGTTTGTGAAAAACTATTTTAACTTCTGTATATTATAAAGTATGGGCGTGAATTTTTCTTGATTTTCCTCATTTATCTTTTGTAAACCACTTTGAGGGTTTTTTTTTACAATCAAGCGGTGTATAAATTTTATGAAATAAATAAGTAGGTAATACCTGTTGTTGTGAGGCTGCTGACAGATACAGTACAGAGTACTAGGATCATAAACTTCAGACTCTGATTTCCTCTTTTTGGATTCTTCAGGTTCATCCCCAGTATGCGCAGGAGATCTTCCTTCTTTCTTAACCTGAACTGCTTCACTCATTTCTTTGGGAACTGTTCCTTGATCTCCAGCCTCGGTATTGCCTATACTTTCTGGTTCTTGCTTTACAGCTATTTCGGTCTTAATTTGGTTGCCTGCTTGAACATCAACTGTCTCTGTAGGATTTTGTTCTTGATGTTTTTTCCTGAGGCGATTCTGTAACTCTTTCAGAGTTAGTTCTGTAGGTTTCTGCTCGACACATTTCTTTCTCAGACGGTTCTGTAGCTCTTTCAGTGTTAACCCATCACTATCACTGTCAGATGAATCCTCCTCCCTTTCCTCATAGTCATGCTCTTTAGTGGCTCTCCCTTTCCCAGCTGGCTGGCCCTTAATGTCCTTGGAATGACACTTCTGAGACATGGCTTTTACATCTGACATGCTTTCTACACTGCCTTCAGAAGCAGTTTCAATGTCAGTAACATGGCAGGATGCTGGCTCGCTCAAGTCCTCAAGAGCTGTGGGAAGATTCTTTCTTCCTCTGCGCCTTACAGTTGTAAGAAATTCTTCTACCCGTTCAGTGCGTTTGGGCTGTCGCCCACTACGCCTAAGAGCCAGACTTTGCTGCTGTGGAGATGGCTGTTCGGTGATGTCCATTTCAGCATCCCCTACCCCTTCACGCTTTGCAATTGTAGTTCTCCGAAACCCCCAAGTTTTCTTGAACTCCTTACTTGTGGGTTTAATTGTTTTTTGTTCGTCATTGCTTTGCTCACTTTTGTCATCCAAAGCTGATGTTGAAGAGAAATGATACAAAGAATTGCATATTTTAAACATGGATTTTAAAATTTCCTTCCCATAAACAGTAACATGTTTTACACTTCTTCCTGTGTATGTTTCATTTTTGAACTTTTGAGCAAAAACATACTTCCTCTTGAAATTCCAACTAAACAGAATGCAAGGTTATAGTAGAAACAGGGCATAGTGTTAAGTTTCTCTGTCCATTACACCTTGTTTTTCCGCGCCTCTTCCCTTTCAGGCTTAATCAACAAATGACTGTCAGCTCACCAATATGGCAGCTACCTATCCTGGCAATGGGTAGGTGGAGACTATGATCAAGATGAATGGACAACATATTACTCAGCCTATTATATAAAAGTCTAGTCAGAGCTATGAATTCACAAGTACAACTAGCCATTTGTCTATTGGCTTGGATCCATCTTCCCCAACCTGGTAACCTACAAATGCTTTAGGTTATAACTCCCATCAACCCTGGATAGTATGATGAAAATTGTAGCCCAACACATTGGAATACATCAGGTTGGGGAATGCTGACCTATAACGAATAGGACATTCCCCAAATACAAGAGATACAATTATTTATGTTCTGTAGCAGTATATGAGAGTCAAGTAACTGAAAAGTTTTACTTATTTATTTTTTAAAATATCTATATACCGCTATTATCATAAAAACATCAAAGCAGTTTACATCTATTTATATATATGTTTCCTAGTTCTGCTGGATCTCTCAGCGGCTCTTGACACCATCGACCATAACATCCTTCTGGACCGTCTAGTGGGCTGGGAGCTGGGGGCACTGTTATACAGTGGTTCTGCTCCTTCCTCCTAGGCCATGTTCAGAAAGTCGGGGGGGGGAGATGAGGTTCAGACCCCTGGGCTCTCATGTGGGGTGCCTCAGGGTTCTGTCCTCTCCCCTTTCCTTTTCAACATCTACATGCAACCACTGGGAGAGATCATCAGGGGGTTTGGGCTGGGTGTTCATCATTATGCAGATGATACCCAGCTCTACCTCTCTTTCAAATCAGATCCAGTGAAGGCGGTGAAGGTCCTGTGTGAGTGTCTGGAGGCGGCTGGAAGATGGATGGTGGCTAACAGATTGAGGTTGAATCCTGACAAGAGAGAAGTACTGTTTTTGGGGGAAAGGAGGTGGGCAGGTGTGGAGGACTCCCTGGTCCTGAATGGGGTAACTGAATGGGGAAAGACCAGGTGCGCAGCCTGGGAGTCATTCTGGACTCACAGCTGTCCATGGAGGCACAGGTCAATTCTGTGTTCAGGGCAGATGTTTATCAGCTCCATCTGGTACTCAAGCTGAGACCCTACCTGCCCGCGGACTGTCTCGCCAAAGTGGTGCATGCTCTAGTTATCTCTCGCTTGGACTACTGCAATGCGCTCTATGTGGGGCTACCTTTGAAGGTGACCCGAAAACTACAACTAATCCAGAATGCGGCAGCTACACTGGTGACTGGGAGTGGCCGCTGAGACCACGTAACACCGGTCTTGAAAGACCTACACTGGCTCCCAGTACATTTCCGAGCACAATTCAAAATGTTGGTGCTGACCTTTAAAGCCCTAAACGGCCTCGGTCCTGTATACCTGAAGGAGCGTCTCCACCCCCATCGTTCTGCTTGGACACTGAGGACCAGCACCGAGGGCCTTCTGGTGGTTCCCTCGCTGCGAGAAGCCAAGTTACAGGGAACCAGGCAGAGGGCCTTCTCAGTAGTGGCACCCACTCTGTGGAACTCCCTCTCACCAGATGTCAAAGAGAAAAACTACCACCAGACTTTTAGAAGACATCTGAAGGCAGCCCTGTTTAGGGAAGCTTTTAATGTTTAATAGACTATTGTATTTTAATACTCTGTTGGAAGCCGCCCAGAGTGGCTGGGGAAACCCAGCCAGATGGGCGGGGTATAAATAAATTATTCTTATTCTTAAGAGTTGAGTCAGAGACCAATAACTACTAAAACTATTAACTTCCATTGCAAATCAATGCAGACTATGATCAGTATTATTACAGTGGTACCTTGGTACTCAAATGGCTTGCCTCCCGAACAAATTGGCTTTCAAACACTGCAAACCCATTTTTCGGAAGCCTAACATCCAACACGGCTTCCACTTGAGTGCAGGAAGCTCCTGCGACCAATCAGAAGCTACACTTTGGTTTTTGAACCGTTTTGGGAGTCAAACTGACTCTCAGAATGGATTAAACTCGAGAACCAAGGTACCACTGTATAGGCAATTGGAACCTTTAACAAAAGGTTTCAGTGTCAGGTGTTTGAGGTTCCAGCTACTTCATTCACCTTTCCCCACCAATCAGCATTTTGTGACCAGGGCACATGCTCAGTCCTCACTGGGCTGTTTCCTGCTACTTATTTTGTTTAAAGAAATACTTTTGTACTTCTGCAAACCTTGAGGTCACCACCAAACCTTCCAATATATATCTCTTGTCAATGGGTGGTACAGTTTTGGCTATATAAGCAATAGTACTCAGCCTAATAATCAGAAATTGAAGTAATTACAATTAGAAGCTTTATTCAGGTTAGACACTTTCCTAAACAAAATAATTTACCAAGAGAACGGGTTTCCATATTAGATTCAGAATCCAGTGCCAGAGATTCCAGATTCTCTTCTTTCACACCAGTGGTAACACTATTCCCAAATGTCACCCCTGAAAAAGAACAAACACAAAAGGTTTTTAACACTGATTTACTTTCAACCTGATAAACATGGAAAAGCAAATTAGCTATTTCATTAAAATATTTAGATTGGGATGGGGCACCTTTTTCAGCCTGAAGCGACATTCCCTTCCGAGGATCACAGGTGGGGACAGAGACAAAAATGGGTACAGCAACTAATGTAGGCTTGTTTTTGGAGTAGACTACTTTCTATAGACACATACACACACCCTCTATTATCCATCCAGGCAAGCAGCTAGAGACTTCATCAGCATTCAAGGACACATTGCAGCTAGGCAGAAACACACTGGGTGTGAAGCAGGGCCAATGAGGGGTGAGGCTTGGAAAGAGTCCCGAAGGGATTTAGACAGCTGATGACTCTTAAAAAAGCAGAACATCACTAGTTTTGTAATGGTCCTACAGTTACAGCATATTTTGAACACAGCACACATATTGTCTAAAGGGTCAATCTTCAAGGTAGAGCTGGGAAACGCTTCTGTCTGAAACCGTGGACAGCTCCTACCAGTCACTATCGACAATGCCAAGCTAGATGGGCCAACAGCCTGACTCTGTATAAGGCAGCTTCCTACCCTATGAATGCACCATTGTGTTTATTTTAGCATGTGTGGAATCCAAAGTATGTTGTCTGTTACATTAAATATAGCTTGAAGGGAACAGGTTAGACAATTAAAGCATGCACTTGCTGAAACATGTTCCCACACTTGCCTTCTTCCCAACTCCACAATCGCTGTCTGCCAGAAACAAACCGAGCAGTACTCTGGGTGTGCTGCAGCATAATACAAGGTACTTCCAGTTGCTCCCTTGCCCACGCCAGAGATTCTGACTTAGTGCACATTGCCTGGACACAGACCCCAACCATATAGCTTTCCGGTCTCCCTTTTACCTATAACCTCAGTTATGCTACTCTGAATAGAGAAACTGTTACCATACACATCAGCGGCATTATGGGCTCCCACTCCAGTGACTGCTCATAATCCAAGAATGGTGCCTGAATAGGAAGCATGTTCTGTACATCACAAACTGGTCTGTAAGTCTGCCTTCCTACATTTTCCATGCCCACTGGGACCCTGACAATTTTCACCAGTCACCCCATACAGTATTAAAGAGACAGCACATTCCATTAAAGGACTTCCTGAGATACTGAACCTAGGCAAGACTCGTTCACAATATATTGGAAAAATCTTCTGGATTGGGGTCCATGCCTTTTGTCCTATGGAATAGTAGGGAAATGAGTAACAGCCCTACACAATCTTCGTACTGGGTGTGCCATAACACTATTTCCATAATTTATTCTGCTTACAGCAAGCCTACTCAAGTTGGACTTCCATCTTTTCAGAACTGAATTTCTTCAGACAACTGTCCCCTGCTTAATTATCAACAAAGTCCCCAGCTTTGAGCCGCAAAACTCCACAAACATGTTATATGACACAATGTCACACAGCAATGTGGACACAGCTAGGACTTGCTTTCATAATTATTGTATTTTCCCGTGTATAAGATGCCCCCATGTATAAGATGACTCCTACTTTTTTGAACCCAAAATTAAGAAATCAACATTTTAAACATCAAACGGAACAACTTCGACATGTTATTAAACATTCAAAGCACTGGCAACAGCGTAGCAACCCCCACTGGTGCCTGGGGCAGCGGGGGGGGGGGCGTGTGGGCAGCAGCGAGGCGTGCCCCACCAACACCCAAGATCGCCCAAAGTTGAGCTTTTTTGGGAGATTGCCCAAGCCAGGCACCTGGGAGGGACAGTTTAATTCCTGTGCATTCACCATCCATGTATAAGACCCCCCCTTAATTTTTGACTATTTTTTTTAAGCAAACAACATTGTCTTATACACAGAAAAATAAAGTACAATAGAATTCTGAAGAGACTGCAATACAACAGAACACAGTATATAATTAAGATCTTAATATAGGTTTACTTTGGATAGTAAAGAAAGGTTATGAAATAAGAAGGTGGACCCCAATTTCCAGAAAAGGCAAATGAAATAGAATAGGCTCCAATATCCTCTAAATGCTTTTACCTGACATAGCATTAGAGGATGCCAGTATTTTTTCTCCCTCTTGACTTAAACCAAAGGAAGAATCACTGGAGGGCAGAAGCAAGTCACTCAGCACAAGCCCTACAGTGCAGGCTGTTCTGGGGAAGTCAGAAGCACAAAGTTCATCTTGATGCCATCCTGTTGACTCCGAAACCAGCAATGCTGCACTTGGTTTGGCTGCCTGTTACAGAAAATGTATTTAGATCGTTGTTCACTTGCATTACCACTTCTTACCCATTTGAAATAAGAGATCCTGCTCACACTAACTAAATTATTAGAACTTGCACCAACGTATTTTTAAAGGGGATAATTTCATTACATTACATACAGGATGAAACCTATTAAGCATTAACCATTTGTGAATGCTACACTCGACCACAACTTTCAAAGTTTTGCCTCTATCAGTGTTTTACAGGAATGGAATTGGGCACAGGTATTTTTATAAATCAAAGAGTACTAAGGTAATTTATAGCTTCAAATTATTGTGGAGTCATAGAATGAATACTTGCAAAAGAAAATTCTTCATCCTACTATAAAATATGGGTATTCCTGTTTAAGGGATGATTTGAAGAACAAGTTACATGTTAAGGTTTTTGAACGGATCTTCAGTATTAAAACATCCCCTTGTTTCAATTTCTTACTTTTGAGTTTTTCTTTCTAGAGCTTCTGCTGCCAATTCTCGCTCTCTCCATCCCAAACCCACACAGGGATTTGCCCAACTGACAAATCCCAACCACCAGAAATCAAAAGCTTGAAGATTCTACCCCATCTCATTTAAAGGGACAGCACTTTAAATACTGTGTCAATACCATTTGTTCAGTGCAGAAAACAAAAAAAGAGATTGGGGGGGGGTTAAATTAAATATGGCCAAAACTGTTGTAAGTGCCATCTTCAGACAAAGCTAGGCTCTAACAACCACAAAAAATGCTACAGAAAAATCAAATGCAATTTTATTCTCTCAATTTATTTATGTTCTCAGATATTATGCCATACGCAAAAGGATAATTCTTCCCTAAAACTGCATTTTAAGATAGGGCTTATTATTTGGTTACCTCAGAGGAAATTATGTTAGCATTTTTTTGTTTTGTTTAGTTGTTTCCAACTCTTCATGACCCCATGGACCAGGGCACGCCAAGTCTATGTTAGCATAGACTTTTGAAATGTTTCTTTCTCAAATAAACAGGGCATAAGTATTCCTCCTTGAATTGTATCAACCTTTAAGCAACATTATAATTCAACACCACTTACAGATAATGTGTGCCAACATATATCCTAGATGGCTTTCTAAATACTATGCAAATAAAGTCTACTATGATAGGACAAGTTATCATGGGAGCCCTGTAACAACAATAAGGTATTTGATACCTTTACTAAACTGCCTTGTGTTTCACTGCTTGAAGCAGTGGCTACATCCCAGGAATCAGAGCTTGACGGCTGAAGAGATTCTGAGTTTAAGGAGCTTCCTTCCACGATGCTGCTTTGTAATAACCTCCCAATCTCCCTGTTAAGAAGCTCCAACTCATCACACATCATGCAATTTTAAAGATCTGCCAGAAGGAAGAGGGAAAAAGTTGGCTAATCATTTCTTGTTCAATTTTTTTTATAAAAGTATCTCTCTAATTCTAAAGCAAAACTAAAAGCCTAATCATCAGCTTATACTTTAATAATACTAAAAGTCATATCCCATCAGTTAGATGACAGAATAATTGGCCATTATGCAAAGAACGCATATTATACACTAAACCCCTAATGTGTTTAATTTGGGGGGAAAGTAATTAGACATTACTTTAGCATAAAGAGCAGTTGGCATACAATTTGCTCACTTCCTTCTGCTGGAAATCCTCCACTGCATTGGAGAATACATTGCAATTTTACTCTACCCGGGAGCAAGGGGATAATATTGTATGTTAAACACAATAAGCTGGCTGAGCAGGGTCAGCTACCACATGTGGATGACTCCCACAAGACTTAACAGAGGCCCCTTTTCTCAAACTCCCCCAAACCAAGAGCAAGGGCAGCATGCAAAAAATGCTGCAGGGAACAGGCCTATTTATAAACAGCTTTCAAAAGGTTTGCCGATTTTGCAAGCATATATATACACAATGAGGGGAGGGGGATCTTGGGTTTGAATTGGGTGGACGCAGGCACAGAGGTGTTATTAGAGTGAATATAAGTGCTGTCACATGATTGGTGATTGGGTTGGATAGTCAAGTTAACGGGACTGACCAAGTCAGGCTTCTTTAACCTCAGCCCTGCAGATGTTTTGAGACCACAGTTCCCAGCATCCCTGACCACTAGTCCTGCTAGCTAGGGATCATGGGAGTTGCAGCCAAAAACATCTGGAGGGCCGAGGCTGAGGAAGCCTGGACCAAGTCATCCATTTTTATGTCTAAAGAACAGATAATGTACAGATGCGTGTCATAGAAACAACTAGCTAGTGTTGTTTCCAGAAGGAGGGGGTAGGTCTTCATCCCTCACCAGGCTGGAGACCAAGGCACCCTAGCAGCAGAAGAATAAGAAGTCAGGGTCTAGCTTTTGCCTCGTGTCCTCTGGAACCAGGAAGACACAGAGGCCTGACTTGCTCTTTGTGATTAAACCAAAGCTATGGCTTTCAGGACCCTCCCTAGAAATCCAATAGAAGAACAAGATCTGTTGGGACTCTAAGCCCTTCAAACTTATTGCTGTTTGTATATGTGTGTAAATAAAATCAGACAACATGGAGACACTGCAGACTCCAGTGACTTTTATTCTAAGGAAATCAAACCCAGGATAACCACTTGAAGAATAACCCTTGAAGTCTCTCACCACTTGGAAATTGGGATGGGTGTTACAGTATTTATGCACAGCAGAACTCTTAACAAAAGGCAGACTTCAATTCCAGCACTGCTAGGCTTGCCTACAGATGTTCACTTTTACATAAATGCCAAATCAGGAAGATCCTATTCCAGGCTCCTGAAGCTACACTGCAAGCTCAAGGAAACCTACATATAATCAATTGTTAATGTTTTAGTCACATCTCCAGTCTGCTTCTAACAACCATCTGGTAGAAAGCGTTCACTAACTTGAAAATATTTTCTATTTCTTTCTTCTAACATTATCAAGTTAGCAACCTAAGTTTTGTGCATATTTGTGTGCAATCCGTGCACACACTTGCATGTAAAGCCATCTGGCATGTTGGATACTGACCTGCATATACATTGTCTATGGTGTTAGGATTTGCAAGCTTCAAATAACTATTAACCAATTACATCATATGGGGATGTGATTAAGTTTTAAAAGCAGCACTGGAGATTGCAGTGTCTGCAATACTAGATGCAAAACACAGACAAGTGTTATTAATCAGTAGGTCCATAATGTGAAGGGGTCACTAAGAGCAAGTTGCAGCAGAAACACCAGAAATGGAGTAGCAGCCTTGGCCAACCCACATTTCCATTGTGCCCTTCCCAGCTCAGCCCCTCCACAGCAGCTGACAAGCAAGGGTGATATAAAATGACTGATCTAAACCATTCCAAGGAATACCAATGTGACATTACTGATTCTCGTGGCTTTCCATTTAAAACAGCCATTTTTCCTAAACATAAATACAATTTCCTTCCTTTCTATGCTATCAGTATTCTGATAGATTCAAAGGTTCTTATAACACTAATGTGTCGGGTTGCAATATATTTCAGAACCTTTGATCACACTCTTTTGACTACAGAAATATATCTACATTTGTACTGGAATAGGTTTTTTTATGTGAGAGGAAGGATGGGATATAAATTCAATAACAAATATATGCATAGAGACTAGGGATGGCAAAATATGTGAATACATATGCAACTACTTTAGGATCACTTACTGGAAAACTTAATTGTTCAGAACTTTTCAAAAGCTAGAGTTGATGTTAGTTGGACCAAACGTGTTTTCTTAACATAAATTTGGGAAGCATGACACTGCTGTGAGCTCAGTTAGTGAGATAATATAGAGTACAAGATCACACAGTATGGCTTAGCAGTCACCCATCTGAGTACAGGACGAAACTCCCTGGATTCTAGCACATATGACGACTCACAATCCATACCAGTAGGAATTATAATAAATATCAGTTGTAACATCTGCTTACTCTGCCAAAGCTCTTTTTTGGATTAAAAAACAGGCAACCCCCACCCCCAGTTTTACAAATGGCAATGGAACAGAATTGAAAATACACTGTATGGTTTAGAATATTTGTATTATATGTTGATTTTGTTTTAAGCTTATTTAAGAAATGTGTATTTTTAAGAAATAGCTAACATTCATGGCTGGGATCTCAAAGAGTTACTTGTATATACTTAAAAGACTGCACATGCCTAACAGAATTTTATCAGTTAGAAGAACCCATCTCCTATCGCCCAATCTGCCTCTGAAGCATCCCTCAGTTTCAAAAGTGCTGCAATTATTAGGAATATGACCTGTTATCATCAGATTGTTAACTTGAAAGTAATGTGACAGAAACACTAAACTGTGCATCATGACCATTAAATCAATCTATGTAGAAAGGAAGAAAGGAGAATCCTATCAAACACTATCAATCTAATAGTGTCTACAAATCAGATGCTGCCACCATCAAAACATCTCATGTTACAGTACTGTATAATTATAATCATGCACAGTATTTATAACAAAATAAAATGACTCTTTTACAGTACATAATTAGAAACCTACCAGATAGGATTCTGCTCTAGCCCTGCTTCACAACATAAAGCAACAAACACCCTAACATCTTCACAACCTTATTGCTTTTCTGGGTTTGCAACAAAAAAACACTCACAGAAGCAAGCCAAGTATTTTAACATACTACAAGAGCAATCACAGCTATAAAACTATATTAAGCAATAAGATAGTTTTAAGTATTTGACTTCTCTTTTCCATAGGCACTCAAAAGTGTCATTTCTTCATTGTCGCTATTATCATAACAAAACCAGACTTTGCCAACCCAGTTATCAGCTTATTTGAAATACATCAATCCTTTCATTCTAGCCAAGATCTTGGAACAGCAGTTAAAAGAAAAAAACATGAAAATAAGCAGCCAAGCTAGGCAAAGTCTTCATCCCTTTGTTGCTGTATATTATTTTCACCAGCAAAACTGAGCAGTGGATCTCTGAAGATAAAGACTCTTAAGCTGTCAACCTTTTCACAGTTAGCTGAATGTGTCTACAGCCAATCTGATCTTTTGCATTATATCTCTCTCCCCATTTCACCAACAGTGTAACCCAAAGATCAGCAAACATTTCAAAATTTTCATTGTTAGGAAATAGCAAGAAATGCTTAGGAGAATTTAAGTAAATATAATGCATGGAGATGGAAAGTAAAAGGTAGACCCTATGTAAACAAAGTAAAAATGCATTCTAGCAAGACTGGTGGAAGAGAAAGTACAATGGTAGGAATAACTGCAAAGAGGTGTTCATCACTGCTTAAAATCTTTTCACAGAGTACATAGGAAAAACCACTGATCATCAAGAGCTATGCTATTCAACAAAAAAAGCCTAATTTAAGAGGGGGCAGAAATGAGCAATGAAAGCATTTTAATCAAATATTGCATTATGTAAGCTATTCTAACATCCTATCCTAGACATTGCAATAGGACAGACGTCACCAAAGATCCACCACACTTTGAGGAGTTTCTTTCTCTAAGGATGTCACAAAAATGCATCAAAAATACCTGTAATGTTTTTATGTCTCCTGAATAATGAATTTCCCTAGTGTACAAAACTCTATTAATACAATTAATACAACTATACACACACAAGCCATATAAAAATATGTATCGGTGCTCAGCAGGATCTATGCACACAGCGGAGAGTTCACCCTAAACAAGGCTCTCTGGAGCATGCAGCTTGCACAGAGCCAAGTCAACATACCTCTTCCTTCCCACTCCAGCTCAAAGCTAGATGAGGGGAGAAGCAAGTCTACATACCACCACTCCCTCCACTCTGTCCACATCAAAGATGGATGTGGGAGGCAGTGGGATACTACTCAGCCAACCTGCCATGCTTCCATCTTAGAAGCTGAAGGGGGAAAGAGAATATGCGCTTCTGTAAGAAAGTATGTTGAGGGCTTGCCAATTTGGCCGTGCACAGCCGGGGTTTATCTCTCAGCTTGGCTCTGCACTGGTCAGATGCTGCTCTGAAGAAGGATTGTTATTTTTTGCACACTGAAATGTGCATGAATGGTGAGTAGTCAGTCCACAAATTCCACATATGAGGTTATTTATTTTGTTCCTCCTATCAACAACCTATACAGACTTTAGCGGCGTTTACAATGACATTCTGCTTCCTGTAACATGCTAGTAGAATAACGCTAGTGGAACCCTTGCAAGAAGAACTCTCATGATTACAGTACAATGTACTCAAAAATTTAACAGGGGGAAAGCGGAGCTAAAAGCAAAAACCAAAACTTTCCACAAATGGTGCTTGGTACAACGGTAGGTTCAACACATTAGCCTGTTAATGGATATATTACAGAACCCTTTTTCTGTCTGTACTACCTCTTCAGAAGAAGGGAGGTGGTGAGCAAAATAAAGCAA